GGCAATCGAATGATGCATTTGTATATTCTTATTTTTTATTTAATACGCACCATAATAAATATATCTAACATCAACTGTTTCATTAAGATTTATGTAAATGGATTACAAAATGAAGAATTTGGGTGAATAGGTGTTTATATAAAAAATAATTAAAAATACTTGAAATACCTCAAACAACGAAGTTGACCAAAAATTAATCCAATAACCACACACTGAAAAAAATGAAATGATGCTAAGAACAAGGAAAGAAGTATTATCAGTAAACACTGATACGTGAAAATAAAATAAAAGTATTCATTTTCGTCAACGAAAAATTCCAATTTGAGAGGTAGAAATTTAGGAAAAATTTTATTTTCGGGTGATATCCAACTTAAAAGGATTGGAAAAACTACTGGAGTTAAAGTATAGCAACCAACGAACGTAAAAAAAGCCACTGTAAAAAATTCATCAAGTTTATTTTTAAAAAAATTTTTCAAAAAATTAAAATTGTTACCTTTTGGATAGTGTGTAATTTCAAAAGCTGCTGCAATTACTTTTGTAATTATTTTTTGTCTTTTTATATCAGCGTTATCGTATGCCTGCATGATTATCATCATAATTTTTGACACCTAAAAAAATCAGATAAAAGTGGTCTATCCTTTCCAAGTAATGATTGAATTTTCAGAAACAAAAATTAACCTTATCTGAATTTATGATTATATAAATATAAGTAACTATAAAGAATATTATCTGTGTCATTTGAATGATACATTGTCCCAAGCAGTTGATGTTGATGTTAACATTTTTAATTTCTTGAAACATCTTTATGCCCTGATAATAAAATCTATGATTAAAACAATCATTCACAGTTTTTTACCTATACTCACTGTACAAACGAAAGCTATGAAAAACAAAAGCAAAATTGTTAATCTCTTTATCCAATGAATCAATTTATTTTCACCCGGTAAGATGGAAAAAAATTGCATTATTATAAGATCGAGAGGAAATTTATATAATTTCAATTTTTTTATAATATTCGAAGTCAGCTCGTCTTTATCAACGTTTTTTATTCGCACCATGCTTATGACTGAAAAATTAAAAGCAACGGCTTCTTTATACTGATGTACGTAATATTACAATTATACACATTGGTATATTAAAAATACTTGAATATGAATGCTGAATAAAGAATTTATTATTTTCAAACAAATGCTTTTGTTTTTAAATCATTGTTGCTTTGATGCAGAGAAATTTTTTTGAAAGGGACATTATGCGTCTAAATTTAAAAAAAGTTTTTACTTTTACTCCATTGACCTTCATTACGTAAATAATTTTTTTCGATAACTTCAGTATGCATGATTAAAAGAAGAGTATTTGTCAGATTATTTCGCAATTTCAACTCAATAATTTAACATTTTACTTGTCCAAGAGAATTTTCAGGAAACGTTCTTGTTAAAAAACAAAAAGCGATGATCGATGAAAATTGAAATTCGTTTATTGTTTAAACAATATAATTGAGTAAGACTAAAACTTTTGTAGATAATCGTGCGGTGTGGGTTCTCAGACTTTTCGAATACTATAGTACATAGAAAAAGGTAGTTCGTATCTCTCCACACTCTGTATCGACGTCTATTTCGATTGTGAAATCGTTTTTGACCTAAACAATCTGAAAAAATTCATGAAAGAATATTTTAATAATGCGGAAAACTTTGAAATTGTGTGCACTCATTTTCGTCATGAAAATACACAACCTCGACGTTTTTCAATTTTTTTTAGAGAGGACGCGAAGTCTAAAATTGAAAAATCCCTTCTTGAAAAAATTTCTTGGAAGATATATCCAAATAAATTGACGGGGCAGATAATGGCAAAACGTAACGTACCACAAACTTGAGAATTGAAAGAAAAAAAACAAATTATTGATTAAGTAAATCATATAAATTAAATAGTTAAATTAAAAACTGACATAATATGCATATCTTCAACCTAGTTATGATTCTCGCTATGCAGAAGGCTGACCTTCAATGGCAAGCCCACTGTACGTTGTGTTATCGTATGTGATTTTTCGAAAACATTAATTCTTAATGTGGACAGATTATAAATAATAAAGCAGAAAAAAAATCTGTATAATTAAATATTACGTTCTTTAGTATACATGCTTGCTTATATGCACCCCCCTATGACCGAAAACCACATTCGGTACACTTATTTATTAGTAAGGATTTGAAAAAAACAAGGTAACTTTTTAAAGTAATAAAATAAGTTAAAATAATTGTAACTCTATCAAACATCATAGTAAAATACATCAGATACAGTTTATTACACAGTTGATTTGGAAACTATAATTTGAAAATGTAGGCACGGCATCTATTATTGTGTCAAAATTTGATTCAATAATAATTTATTCGTGTGTTTTAAGATTTTTAAGGTTTTTCGTTCTATGGTGAACCCTATGGGGCTTGGACTATTAGATACATTTGTTTTCATTTTAATAGGAACTTGGGTAAGCGTTAAAAGATAATGGTGATAATCTTAACAAATTCACTTCGATATAAATTCAGATGGTAATTTCACTGGCAAATTCGGACTTGACGGAAGTTGGAAAAATGTTTTTTGTATTTAATGCTGTTCTGGTTGTTATTATTGAAATATGTATTCTAAGTCAATTGGTGAGCAATGCCAGCTATAAATTTCTTCTTAAAAGGTAAAAATCAAAGAAATTATGCTCTATTCAAAAAGTAATTTGTATAATTTTCTCTCAGCTATGCATAAACTGGTATAGCTATCCGTTAAAAGCTCGAAAGATGTTAAAACTGATTATGGCAAGGTCAATGATATCTCTCACATTGACAGCTGGTCTGACAATCGTGTTGAATTTTTTCACTTGCAGTGCTGTAAACTGATACATTGTTTCATTGAAAATCAAAATGAGTAAAATCTATGTCATAGGTAATAAAAGAAACGATTTCGTACGTAGCAACTTTCTCAGCAAGTGGCACGTGGCAAGTTTCTCTCGTTTATTGTAATATTTTATGAATTGATATTATAAATTTAATTTTAATTTCATCATTTAAGGTATCAACGAGTAAACTGCTTGTTTTATTACAAAACATTGAAGGCTTGAAAAATTTTGCTGGATATCCAAAAACTTTTCAAAAAATTGTATTATTGCTGAAAAAAGATTTACATCGATGATTCACTACTACACTCTGTTTTCCCTTCCACAAGACACTTATTTATTGTCATAAATAAGTTCCACATTATTTATTTCTTAAATATAATTCTTATGACGATTATTAAAAGTTTTTGAACTCTTTTGCTATTTATTAAGAGGTACAGTCCCTTCAAGGTCAAAGTCATGCATTCTGCATTTTCATAAACGTACACAACAGCAATAAAGTTATACAGTTTGATCGGTACATAGTCTATCGAGCATATTCGAGCATATTACATTCCGTACCTATATTAAAGAGCCCGAAGAACAATTAGGTGGTATGCAAGTTGCGGTTAGTATGCGTTAGCGCGACGATGTGTGAAGTTGTGTGTGTGTGTGTGTGTGGCGCGGTCGTGTTGAGTATAAGAGTTGCTTGGTTTGAACGTCAGGCCCATGAATAAGAACGTAAACATATGACTGAAATAAGTTATTGCATATAAGGACAGTTCGAATCACACATCATCGTGACAGGGGAAGAGAACACTGTTTCATAATATATTTTGAAAGAGATAATAAGTCAAAATTTTGGACAAGACGCAAATGGATTGCGTGCCTATGTAATTTTCAGTCGAGACGAAACCGAAGTTTGATAATTGTTTAATGGAACTATATTCTATGACAAAATTGGTAAAAAAAGTGAAAACTATTTTTTCACTTCCAAGTGAATGAGTAAGTGTGATATTGTGGTGAGTCAACGTACTCTGAGTGCTCTGATTGGTTTTGGTAATAATTCAAATTATTCCTTATAATACTTGAATTTTGTGATCTTCGCAATTTCGACCCACTCGTGCGCCAATAATTGGGGATTAAACCATAGTCAGCGCCCTCTGTAAATTCAATGCGGCCGTCCCATAAGAACCGTAGGACCGCCTGTGATACAGCTGAAACAGTTTACAGGCGGTCCTAAGGTTCTTATGGGACGGCCGCATTGAATTTACAGAGGGCGCTGACTATCGTTTAATCCCCAATGATTGCTGAAAAAAGATAGAAATGAAACGTTATACAGTTTGTTATGAATAGAACTTACGTCGAACGAAGCTGCTTATTAAGCACAGCTAACATTAAAAGACAGAGCTTCTTTACATCATGGTAAATTGTAAAATAGAGTTTTCAGTATCGTGATAGGCTCCACTAGCACAGCACTATTGGGAAGTAATGCGAGTGCCCTAGAGGGGGAAAAAATCCAATATGTCCGCTATAGCCATGAGGTTTAACATAGGAGTGTATGGGAGGTTTACAGTTTTTCGCTCATATTTCAAAAAATATGCAAATTTTCGGAAAACTGAGGACATCAATCGATTCCTCGTCAAATTTTACATCGGAAATGATTGTCGACTGCAAAAGTGTTAGTGTAAAATTATTCACAATATCGAGTTAAACAGAGAAATTCGACTATGAAACGGGGCTCTCGCTTCGCTTTGACGTGATTTTTATTTGTTTAACTCGATATTGTGAATAATTTTACACTAACACTTTTGCAGTCGACAATCATTTCTGATGTAAAATTTGACGAGGAATCGATTGATGTCCTCAGTTTTCCGAAAATTTGCATATTTTTTGAAATATGAGCGAAAAACTGTAAACCTCCCATACACTCCTATGTTAAACCTCATGGCTATAGCGGACATATTGGATTTTTTCCCCCTCCAGGGCACTCGCATTACTTCCCAATACCTTCTCAATAATCTGTTATTCGCTCAACAGATGCAGTAAAAAAAGAATTTTAAAGAAAATTAAAGTCAATAATATTTTAAATGAAATTATTCAAATAAAGTGAAGTGGATTGAATTGTTTTTTTTTTCGTTCACAGTATGCGGCGAAGTCGAGTGCGTGCGCCTGGTGCTGGCCGCCGGGGCTAGTCCGTCGAGCGCCGATTTGCGGGGTGGCTCGCCGCTCCACTACGCGGCTCAGTGCTGCGGGGCGGCCGCCACCTCGGAACTCAGCGTGCCGAAGAAAATCGGCCTCAAAGTCCTGAATACTCTGCTGGAGTTCGGCGCAGACGTCAACGCTCGCGACGAGGACGGCCGACAGCCGATTTTATGGGCCGCCAGCGCTGGAAGCGTAGAAGCCGTCCTGGCTCTCGTCAGGTGAGAGGCATATCGCGATAACTTATGTCGCGCGTCGAACGTGTGTGTCCTTGTATCGCTGACCAAATTGGTGTGACAAAAATTATCGATACCGCAGTGACCTCTATTCCCAATAGCACACATAATAATCGTCTTACTCGCGCCCCGTGTAAAATGCGCAGGGCTGGAGGCTCGGCGGTCGCCGGTGCGTCGGACAAAGACGGCCTCACGGCGCTGCACTGCGCCGCCTCGAGGGGCCACGTCGCCTGCATCGAGGCGCTCATCAATCTCTGCAATGCTCAGCCCGATCACGTGGACGACAACGGCTGCTCAGCCCTGCATTACGCGGCCACACTCGGCCACGCCGAAGCCACGGCTCTGCTGCTGAAACTTGGCGCCGATCCCAATCGGCAGGATCGAAAGGGCCGAACGTGAGCATTCACTCTGTCTTATGCACGTGTGCGAGAGTACAAGCTAATTATATTTTGCATTGCGCCCGCAGGCCGGTACTGTGCGCGGCGGCCAAGGGTCAGCTGGAGACGCTGAAAATCCTGGCGCACGAGGGCGCCTTCCTGCACACGCGCACCGTCCGGGGCACGGGGGTGGCTCACGAGGCCGTCTCGTCGGGCCGGCTCGAGCTGCTCAAGTGGCTGCTCAAGCGCAAACCGGGACTGTTCGACGTGGTGACGCAGGAGGGCAAGACGCCGCTGCACGTGGCGGCTCTGCACGGCCACCTGGACGCGGCCAAGCTGCTCCTCGACAACGGGGCGAGAATCAACGCGCTGCTCAGATCGAGCAAGGGCGGCCTCATGACTGCGCTGGACGCGGCTCTCTATAAGGGTCATCGGGACTGCGCGAAATTGATACAGATGCACGGAGGATTGACGGCGATGCATCTGAGGAATCAGAAGAGCGGCCCGGCCAAAGGTATATCTGATTTTATGACCATGTTCTTTATGTTCTCTCATCTGTTATGAACTCGCTACTCCGTTTCGACTGTCATAGAATCAAGTACGTAAACAAGTTTGATTCTAGTTAAAAGTCAATAAACAACTGTTAAATAAAAAAAAAGCAGTCAGAAGTAAAAATTCAACAAAATCCTACACTAACTTTTAAATGCAAATAAATGAACAATTTTAAGTTAATGGTCTTGGATTAAAAAAGTACAACGTTGAGGGTATCAATAAAGCCTGAAAATATTTACAAATTTAATTCGTTTATAGCCGAAGCTCATGAGTAGGAAGAGACTGTGTTTTAATTCGTAAATGATTTAATTTTACTTTGATAATTACACATTTGGAGATACCTCTTACTTACAATAAAAAGGCATCGTACATTGAACTTGAAATTAAAATTCGATACGATGAACGCGTATTTAAAAGCATATGAGGAAATCTTCAGTTTATTTTGTTCTTTGTAAACTTGTTCATTGTCGTTGAAAATTGATGATTGAACGTAATTAATATTCTAAACAAATCATTTCTAAGATTTAATTTAAATAAAATTGAGCATCTTATCGATACATCGACATTAAAGCTGTTGTATATGATAACGATGTTTTCATGATCTAAGTCATCATTATAATTAGTTGACAAATGAATAATAAGTATAATATATTTAACTTACATTTCCGTACGTCTCGAAGTTTAGATCAGCTAGTGGTCCAGCCGGAACGACCAAAGTTTTGGATAGTCTCAAAATAAACATTAGAAAGAGTTTTTTTGCTTTTATTGGATAATCATGACAATTGCAACCATAACTAAATTTTTTTCACTGTTAAAAATGAATATTAAGTTCTGCACAATTAAATATAAAAACTTTACCATGAGTTGTATACGTAAGTGTTGCTATCCACTACAATTTGGCTTGGTAAACAGATAAAAAATAAAGAAATTGTTAATAGCAAAAATGCACAAAACATTCTGAAAGCGTCAGCTTTGTCTGTTTTTAATAAGATCACCATCTAATCAAAAATTACAGAAAAATGAGAGTTTAACAATATTGCTTCATAAAAATAAATTTCATTCCATACCCAAAAAGCTGATATAACAAGACACGTTGATGACAGCAGCATTATTATGATCATAAGTGGACTAGCAATTTGGTTAAATAATTCCATTATTCTAAAACATTTAGTAATAAGCTCTTTTAAATATTTTAATTTGAATAATATGTATAAAAAGTAATGCAATTAATACATATCCAACATATAATCGTGCTGACTAGAAAATCAATTTTATGCGGATAAACAATTGTTTTAGTTGTGTGATACTCAACTCTATAACATGCTGATGATTTTTAATCATATCAGTTACTGCTTTGGATATCATTTCAGATATTTCATTTTCAATCATCAGATCGCGATTAAGAAAATAAAAGTATTTTAACTCCTTCATTTGATACCTAAATCGATTAAATTGTTAAAATTTAGATTAATTATTTTAATGCATAGATAATAACACGATTTGTTGTGAAATTATAAATTTTCAAATGATTTTTATTAGATTTTTTTATGAATGATTTTAAAAAACCTGCTTAATTAGTAAATTTGAATAATATTAAATATTAGGTCACTTAAAATTCTTATAAAAATCATTCATTAGATAAAAAAAAACATTTAAAAATTTTCAACTATACACTCAATAACGTACACCAGGCATCTTAATAATGTTATAATGTAAGCTACACCACACCATTGGAAAACATTCAAGGCGTTCACTACCAATGAAAAATTAAGTAATGTAAAAAGTTGAACCAAGAAAAGAGTCACAAAATATTGATTTTCATTTAAGAAAAACTCTGTTTGAATTGGCAAATGTTGGGTATAAGTCTGATTTCCAGCCAATATATGATTCAAAATAGAAGGAATAACAACTGGAGCAAAACAGAAAGCAACTAAAAGTAAAGCCACCAGAACTGTTGGAATCAAAACACGTCGTTTATATTATATTATTCATTATATAAATTAGATTCAAATGTATTTCTTTCAATTGAAATTTAAATGTTTGAAGTTGATACTTACTAGATTGAAAAAGTGCAAATAAATAAACGTATCTTATCACTTTGAATAGTAAGGCTTTCTCATCAGGCTTTAATTCATCTACTTTAAAAAGTTGAGAATATATTATTTGTTTCACCTGCCAAACAATTCAAAAACGTTTAAAATCGTATTACAATTTATTAGTTTATTTTTCCAATAACCTGTTTTTCCTTGATTATCATGATGAAGTAGGTTGCCAATAATGCAGCCGATGATAAAATTTGAAAAATAATATCAACTAGAATATTTTGATTTAAATCTGTCTGAGAAAACGACACTGTGAGAAACTTGAAGACCTAAATTATAAAATGTGAGAAAAAATTTAGTTTATAAAAAGACTATGGTACAAATTGAAAGGTTCTAAGATTACTGAGCCTCCCAAAATGATTCCCAGCGACGAAGATATAAGTAATCGACCAATTGTTTTTCCATAAATATTCATAAATGGCCATATACAAGCGCACCGTAGAATTTGTTTGGTCCAATAAAAGTGACAATTACTAAATTCATTTGCACTGTTGTATAAAATTTTCACAGTTGCTTTATCAAAATTAAAATCAGCATGCATGATTTCTGATCAACAAAAATATTTATTCTATCTAGAGAACTGAAACAACCAAAACTGTTTACTGCGAAAAATTGCCCTTGAACACATATTCTACTGTATTCATTGTTCGCACAAAACGCCTCGGGCGAAAAAATATTCAATACCTTTTTCAATAATTCATGTGTCTAAATCACACTGAAGGTCATAATTTCAAGTTATAAAGTATCCATTTTTGTGGATTATTTAAAAATCTACTAGCTTTACTTTTACTTGGAACTTTTTCAGATCGATGTTAAAAACAAAAAATTCATTCAAAATGTTTCACTTTTAAATGCAGTCCTCAAACAGCTGTTTGTTTATTTTTCATGATAGTGTTTTCCTCAAAACTTCGAGTGCGTCACACCGACTCGGAATCGTCGGACTCGGAGCAATACGGCGATCGGCAAGACGCGAGCGAGAAAAAACGCGACGATCCGGGAGTCTACTACGAGGAGCGATGGATCGAGAAACGCTCGAGGCGCACGCGGGCCCATCAACGCGGGGACCACGAGCTGCAGCGGACGGCGATCGGATCGCGCCAGGACAGCAGTCGCAGCTACAGCGAGGAGGAGCTGCGCGTGGCCAAGTCGACGTCGCGAGACCGCGCGAGGCACAACAACGCCACCTCGTCGTCGTCCGTCCAGAGGCAGAGGCGAGCTCGCAGCGAGAACGCCCGCTACGACGAGGACGAGGATATTCTTGATTCTAGAGGTACAAAGGTATTTGTGTCATTGTGTTGAGTTTAATGCAAAGTAGATGGCTTTCTTTCTTTTTTTTTCCTCGAGTATCGCGCGTGTTTTAACGAAGCACGAGCACCTCTGCGCAACGCAAGCTCGTTTAACGCTAAAACCGACGGGTGTAATTGTATTCAAGGCAGGAGACGACGAAGGAGGAGCGCGAGGCCGTCGAAGAAGAAGAGAAAAGCCGAGGAGGCAGCATCAGCAGCAGCAGCGAGTCGTCACGGCGATCGCGAGGCTGCCCCTGACGCAGATCGCGGCCTACTCGTGCAGTCATCCAACGCGAGCTCGGAGTACGTCGCGCCCGCGTCGAGCAAAGCCAGCGACGACGAAACGAGTTCGTGTGTATCTGACGACAGTCTCGAGGTTGTAGTGGTCCGGCGCTCGCTGGAAAAGAAGACCGAGAAGATAGTCTCGGGTAGTAGAGAGTCCAAAATCGTGCGCGAAATGTCCAAGGACACGTCGACGGAGTCGCGCAAGATATGCAAGAAGAAGAGGCAGTCGTCCAAGAGCAAGTCGTCGAGTCACGAGGCGCAAAAGAGCCTGGAGGACGACAGCACCAGTCAAGAGAACGTCGAACGAGTCGTGGTGGAAGCCGATGTGCACGGTGACCAGCCGACGACGGAAACCGACGACGCCAAAGATCAGCCGCAGGTCTCGGACGAGCAGATGAGGAACAAGATGAATGACATTTTAGAGAAGGCCGACGAGCTGCAAAACTCCTTGCTCATCAAGGCAGCGGATCTGCGAAAAGATATGGAAGATATTAGGCAGCAAATGACTCAAAAAGTCGACGAGGTAAAGGACAAGAGAGAAGAAGAGGAGCAAGTAGATACCGATAAAAGAGACAGTTCGGTGGAAAAAGATCGGCAAGAATCGGTGGAACTCACTGACGAATCAAATGAAAAATCTGGGAATGCCCATGAAGATACTAACGAGCTAGCAAGTAAAGGAAAAAATGACGGAGTGGTTGTCAAAGATGAGGATAAAAGATCAGTTGATACAACAAAACATCTAGCGAATGAAGTAGGAAAAGTGGAAAAAGCTGCGGACGAGTCTCAATCGCCGAAAGACGAAGTCAAGGTTGAAAACGAAACGCAAGCGCAAGACAAGGCTCAAGCTCAAGAGAATGTACAAGCTCAAACTCCAGGTACAATTAATCAAAGGCAAAAGTGTCAAGTATGATTTAATATAAATTTTTTTTCTTTCAATAATCTTACAGGCTCAGAAAATGTCCACTTAGTCGACGAAAGCTCCTCGAGCTCGCCACCACATCCGAAAGCGTCACGTCGTCCGAGCAAAAAGCAACGTCAGAAACAAAAGCAGCAGCAACAGCAGCGTCAAAGCGACGACAAGGCCGAGAGTTCGAATGAACATTTTTCACCGGATCACAGTGCGATCGTCGCCGTTATCGACAACTCGAGCTGGGATGTGGTCAACGAAGACGACGAGGAGATCGACAAAGAGATCCAAAACGTCGTCGGCGAGCGCAACGAAGACGACGAAGAGGAAGACGCGGATGATTTGGGAAGCGACGACGGGGCGATCGTCAGGGTTTTACCGAGTACGAGCGAGGAGGAAACTGGCCAATCCGCCGGTGATTCTTTGCCGCAGCTTCGATCGCACGCGATCAAATCGTCGCAGCAGCAACATCAGCAGCAACAGCAGCAGCAAAAAGAAGTGCGGCTTCGTCAGCGTCGAGACAGCGGCGGTCGTGACAGCGGCATCGAGCCCAGCCCGCGGGTCTCTCGGATACCGCGTCGCAGCCTCCGATGCTGCCCCAACAGCGAGCGCCAGCAGGCCCTCAACATGGACACGATAACGCGCGACGTCCAGATCAATCTGCGACGCTACCATCTCGAGCGCAAGATCTTCTTCCAGCTGATGGAGCTCAAGAGGCTGCAGATACGGCACGGGCGCGCCAACGAGCAGGTCCTGGTGAAACGCCAGGTCGAGGCTTTTCACAGAGCCGGCATGAGCGGACCTGCCCTCGGGGTGGCCAGATACGATCAATCGTACACGTTCAGGTAGCTTGCGCACCATAATTATCAACGCTACTGATTTTTCACTACTGATTTCGATAATCCATTTTTATTTTTTTACTCAGGAGTTTCGAGTCATTTTTGTACGAGCAGCTGAGGCGATTACAGAAGCGACCGGCGTCACCCGACTGGTGCACCGAGGCCAAGCAATGCACCCAAAAGACTCACCGCTGTCATCACGCAACAAGTGCCTACACTTCGCTACCCATTTATACGTATTGTAAGAAAGGGCACAAATTTCATGACGCCTACTTTGATTAAAGCGATGAAGTTTGAATTTTACATATCATTATGTATGAATTAATGATGGATTAAAATTAACGTAGGTGGATCAGGCCACGAGAGACCGACTAGTCTTCTACCGAAGATCGATGGTCGAGGCAAAGGGCAGATGACGGTGAGTAATTATTAAAAAAGGAACCCTGATATAAATGCTTAATTTCAATGATGGCTTCTTGACCTAAAAATGACCATTCAAAATAATTTTTTGCAATATATAATCATTAATTGGCTTGTTGTTGGCGATTATTCTGTTACAATTATTTCAAAAATGTTAAGCGTGCTAAAGTTAAATGACAATTTAACTGTTTCAAAAAATTTAGACGAGTTTTCAACCACTTTAAATACAGTAATATTGCTTTAACTCTTCGCCGCTAGATGTCAAGTACCTTTATCTGTAAATCTGCAAGTAGTACAGTTAACATAATTGTATAAGTCTAATAAGTGTAAGCTGTTAATTAAAAGAATTCCATTGGTCGAAAACTAGGCACAAAATGTTGAGCTTTTCTGTCTGGGAAACAATCCATAAAAAACCGCAAACGTGCATGTGTGTATGGATAGTGAATAGGGCAGGGTCAATCCAGTCTGTGAGCTTTGTTTTTCTCATACCATCAAATTGATCGAGCTCTAATTTAATACTTAACCGTAAAATTGCGTAGCAAGAAATTTATTCGCCACATTCATTTGCATGTTTGAAGAGGGCTGGCTCTCGGACAGCTTTTTCGAGAACGAATAACAATCAAACGTATGTTTTGCTTCCGACACACAGGTGGAAGTGACCCACGGCGAAGAGAAGCAAGTGATCGCTTTACCCGCGGAGAAGCTCGATCGCACCAAGAGGTACTTCGTGACTTTCACGGTACGCGGCGACGCTTCGGCTTCGGAGTTGGACAACTCGAGCAAGCCCAAGACGAGCGCAGCGGCTCTGACCGCGACGTCGGTCACTCAAAGGCATACCAAAAGTGTCTGATCGATGTAATAAAAAAATAAAAGGATCGCGTGTAAATTGTGCTTTATATATAACTACGTATTTTCTTCCACGCGTGCTCACCACGATTGTTTCTATAAAAAAGACAGATTATGATATCAATAAATGTATACGCAATGTCCATGCGCTTCGATAATATCAAAGACACCGATTTTTTAAAATCAAAATTTTGCAAGTCAGCTCGACGACGTAACTGCCAATTGTTTGTTAATTATTGTATTTGTGTACGATGAACATACTGTTTATAATGTTTTACGACGGTTTTGGACTTTCTATGTACCCCGTATCTATTTGGAAGAGATTGCTGTAAGCTGTCTTAATTAATTACCAATCGTAGAGCAAATATTTTCAGAATAAAATTTCCATGTAAAGCTAAACCTAGTAACCACTGATAATTTTCCATTGCAATTGTTTCTAAGTGCAATAAAGATGATTTTATTTCTTTGTACAATGTATTGAGAATGAAATGATCGGCTTATTCCATGTAATTTCAAGCTGTGTTTAGAGATAAGCTCTGGTATCGATTCATTGATACCTTTATTTTTTATAGCTCTAGAACTGCTTTTTTTACGTTAACGTGAAGCTAAAATAATCCTAATGTAATAGTTTATTACCGTGATGCATTAATTGAATGTGCTAGAAAATTATACAATGATTTACTAATCTACTATTTTAATGAATAAAAAAAAAACAAGTCCGTCCTCCGTTGCTTTTTATAATCTGTAATATTTTACGTTACGATAAATAAATGTAAACGAAAAAAGAATTGAAAAGTTCAAAGCAATAAGGTAAACGTAAAATAATAATCAAGAGAAATAAAATATATCATTATTAAAAAACTTCTATAGAACTGATTTTTTCTTTTTTGGACCACTTACATTTTTCACAGTCTTTAACAATGAAATTACCATTTATGTTCTCATAAAAATGTCTTTAATCAAATAATGCCGTTACGTTGCAAGCTCATAAAATATCATTTTTATATGTTTTTCAACTTCTTGTCAGTAATGAACTCTATCATTATATTAATTTTTATAAAAGCACGTGTTGAAATTGATGAACTGTTTATTAAACGAGGCCTTTGCTTTTGTTTCAATTAAGGATCACTTAGCAGCGCGCGTTAAAATTGATGTATGTAAAGTAGTAGTGTGAGATAAATGAAGGCCTCGTTTTAATAAACAGTTCGTCAATTTCAACACACGCTTTTGTAAAAATTAATCATCGAAAGATGACTGAGTGCTTTTTAAAAGTGACAGATCTTTGTATGAATTGTACTTCCACTATTTTTTGAGTTTTCGATGTTTTATGTGAGGAATAACTCAATATCCAGTAAATGTCATACTTATATGAAATCGATGCATCATTTCAGGCAATTTTACGAAGCGCTACCGAGGCATCCACGGAAGTGACTTTTTTAAGCAGGACGCTCTTCGAATGCTAATTATAAATCACCAGCAAATTTTTCACTTTGTGAAAACTTGTCAAAGTACTTGAATACATTGTTAATGATTGCGAAAAAAATTAAGTACTTTATTACTTACTATTTTCAAAAATCTCGGTACAATCGTGTAATTTTTGGGACACTAGATGCGATGCTCCTCTTCGCCGATAATTCGGAGTAATCATATTAAATATTAAAATTTTAAAATATTAAAATTCTCCTTCTTGTACGATATCTTGTCTATTACAAGTCGGCAAATCAGGAGTTCGGTATAACTCGACATCGGTAACATTCATAGCCGATGCTCGTGTGTATAGCAACGAATCGATCGTTTTCAGCTCGCTTGTGCACGTGCAGTCGCGCATATATCGTCGGTAAGGAATATCTTTTTTTTACTATCCTCCCGCACGGACTGGCGGCGGAAATATATATCTCTCTATCCACCTGACAACAATAACAAGTTGAGTAAAAATCGATCGAGTCCTAGGCTACGCATTCGACGATGATATGTATACCGAAAGAAGAAGAAAGAGAGAGAGAGAGAGAGATGAGGCTCATTCAGTCGCTGAAACTTCGAACTCGGGCTGGGTGGCAACTATCCTATACCGTACACGATAATATTCGAAACAGATACATGTATGTGCGCGCGCGACCCGCCCCCGCGCGATGGATACGGTATACACACACGATGTAAAATATATAGCATGCAGCCGCGGCGCGACTATATGCACGAGCCATCGCGTATAGGTGCTGTATTTATGCTAGGCGATGTGTACCCATACACACACACAACATGTCGGTCCGACGATTTATACACGTTTTGGAAGCACAGCGACGAGTATAATATACACAGTACATTCTACGTAGCTTACCGTGTACGCGTGTCGTGTGGATACATACCTTACCTTTGATGGCGTGTTTGCATTATCATATTTGCGTGTGCGCGTGTTGCAGTAGCACAAGCATCGTCGGCTGCAGCCGCCGATAACTGCGAATTAGACGACGATGAGAGCGGCCCTCGCAGCACCTGACTCGAGCATCAATTAACACGCATGTTAATCGGATCGTCTTCGTGCATTTATGGAGAAATGGCTGCTTGAAAGGAAGCTCTGGCTATTCGGTAGTACTCTGCCACTGCTGCCTCGAAGGTACGCTAACCAATGGAGCTTTTTTCTCTGCTCCATCATTTTTTACTCGTTCGCATTATTTTTTTATTTTCTTAAAAATAATTTTAAAAAATTAATCAAAGAGTAAAAGTTGACGAGCGACCGGCATCATGAAGTTCAACTTGCGAGAACGTTCACGAACCATCATATCTACGCGTGTATAAATATGAGCTCGATCCCGCGCGCGGCTTTGTATACGTTTACTTGCCACAACTTCGTTGCGAGGCAACTTTTTTTTCTCTCGCTTCGACGTGTGCATTCGGTCGTTTTGACTATTCGATTTCGTTTAATAGGCAGTGGCGGTTTTTGTTAATTTTTTACTGCAGATTTTGCACACGCATTCGGCGAAATTAGCATTGAAATCACGCGATAAACGAGGTTTTAGTGCACTTTTGTAGTTTGTTACAGCCTTGATCTATTTTTATCCTTTTCCTAGCAGTACTATATGAGTACACAATCGGTCGTGTACGTGCGCGCATCCATCAGAAATATTTTTCTTCGCGCCTTTTGATCCATGATTATTCGAATCATGAGGAATGTGTAATGATTCATGTTTATAATTCCATTCATTAACGCTCGTGATTTTTGAAATTTTCATCGATTTTCATAACAGGATGTGCATTAATAATCGCCGCGTTGTTGAACAATTATCGGAAACGCTAACACTCATGCGCGCCTCGAGCCATCGCGTGTCAATTAATTATGCACCGCCACAATGCAGCACACGATATTTATTACGAATACGCGTGAGAAAACGGATAACGAAAGTCGAGAGAACGAGAAAAATTTGACCTTGGGTTAAAGCTCGCGTACACGCGAAGATCGTCGAAAGTAAAAAAGCCTCGCGGTATTACGTGCCAAAAGGGGTATGCGCGCGAAAACGAAATTAAAAGCCGAATGATACCATTTAAATACGCTATTAAGGCTTGTACAGACGATGATTGGCAAGGTCGTCACAGAACGAGCGAAATTAAAAAGCTCTCGAGCTCGATGCGAACGTAGAGAATTGATAGATCGTTAAAGCAGAAATTTTTTTCTTTTACCGATCATCCCTCGCGTTGGCTTATCTCTATTTTTCCATCTCCAACTCTATGAATTGTTTATTCGCTCCATTAGCGGAAACATCGACTTTGACATCGAAAAATTGCCCGGAAAAATCGATAAAACCTGGTTGTTATTCAGCAGCAGCAGCAGCAGTTTTGCGGGTGAAACAAATCAACGCGTCGCAAAGCTTGGCGTTACCGAAAGAAAACATATAGTGCAACGGTAAACTTCTCATCGATGCATTGTAAAATAAACAAAATTTCTACGATCTCGCAAATGACCTCGTCATTGGATCGGTTATTTCCTGTTACAACAAAGCACTCGCCCACTCCTCCCCTTTCGCCTTTTCGAGTTATTATTTCTCGGAAAGCTCGTGTACGCCTCGAGACTCTACTATATAAGCGAAACTGACTTACACTTACTCACACGAAGGCTCAGAACAAATCGAGTGCAACGTGTGTACATGCAAAAGGAATACAAGAAAAGAGACGTACTTACCCCCGAGGCTTCAAACGATTTTCACATAAAATTATAAAAGTTTCCACCTGGTACGAGAATATCGATTCTCTCGGCTAATGTTCGGTCCGTGTGTACCTCTTTTTTTATTATTATAGGTAAGCGTATACCTCCGAGCTCGCTCGCTCGCTCTGTATACACGTACAAATACATATTGTATAGATATATAGTGTACTTGTAACTTGTACAATATGATATCTAGTCAGTCGTTGGAGCCGAGCGGCGGGTCACATTTGTCGCAGTCCGCTATGAAACAGTGTTTAGCGAAACGTTGTTGCGTGTGCCCGCGGTACATCGTACACCGAGCAAGAAGAAGAAAATTCGCGACGTTCGACGTTTTACGACGTATCGGCTGCGTGCAGATGCCAAAAGTTTGAGTTGTCTGCAAAAATGAAGTCCAGCAAATAGAGAGAGATTCGCAATCGATCGACGATCGAGAGGCTCGAATGTGTCATGAATGCCCTACTGCAAATCTTGTATGTATTTAATCATTGATGTGTGTGCATATACGACTACGATAAACGATCGCGCGGGTCAATTTTCATCATTTTGGCGAACTCCTTTTTTTGTCGCGACATTATACCTGTGGCCTATAAGATGATGATTTTAAGTACACATCCTTTGCGTCTTTTAAACGGCCCTCATTTCGTTGCCCGTCTACCTTGGCCATAATTCATTAATGTATAATATCTGTGTAAAACTCACAACTCGAGTGTGTATAGCTGGCTGAGTCTATTATAATCCGTGTTCGTGGTTTCCTGATTACGCCCGGCCCGAACTATGTGCGTCAGTTGTTGGCCGATTTCTCGCTGTACCGCACACGGGTGGCGAAAAGTTTTTGTTTCGTGAAATTCTTTAAAAAGTTCGTTTGAATTCTGAAAATCCTGGGAAAAGTACACAGAAATTATGAACAGCGCAATCGAAGATGGTCAACTATGAGGTGATACATTTTGTTCGAAGAAAAAAAATAAAATAAACGCGACAACCAAGGTATAAGTCGAAATAACAAAAAAAAAAAGATGACACTTGTTCCGTGCACCGAGGAGCTTTTTTCGATTGACATTGGAATGCTAATTGAAAACCGCATGCATTTTTCAATTTCAAAAATCGATATAGCCACCGACGCGGTGACGATTACTGCGCTTGTACCCCTCGTACGCGTGGCCGTCGACACATTGTTTCTCGTCCAACGCACCGATAATAATATAACAATGACTCTAACCTTTAAAACTGTTGTCAGCGTTAAAAATTCTTGCAGTGTACCGCGCGCATCTTCGTCCACCTATTATCCTTTGTGTCCTGGCCTCGAGTTCATTGCGATCCTTAAAATTTGCAGTAATGAGTTTTCCAAATTTTCCCGGTATCGCGAAAATCGCCAAGATCCTCAACGACTTGTGCACGGTCGATTACGGTCGGTATGTACCAGTTTGGTGAGTCGAATGACAGATAATGATCGGTAATCGTAAGAAAAACGCGCGAGCGTATGTGTGAATTCGATTGCCGTATGATTTATTCAACGACGCGGCTGTGTTAGTGTACGCGTGTTTGTGTGTGCAGTATCGTTGTGCCGCGCATCAGCCCGAAGGTTTGAGGAAACCATTTTTCGTCCTTGGAAAATGAATTAGTGTGTGTGCTTGTATGAATATAACGTGACAACGAGGTGCAAGCTCGCAATGAGCTATAAACGAATCAAGGTGCTCATTATGCATGTGCCTTTATGAACAAAAAGCTCAGTCGTGTCGCGAGTCCGTTTCGCGCATGGAAGGTAAATTTCCGAAAACCAATAATTGTTCGGTCACGTTGTCTATTCGAGGTTCGTTTCTGTAACCGCAGTAATACATTAACATCGAACCTTTACACGAATTTGGCGCTTCTGCCGAAACGCGACACAATTCGGCAGGGCTGCCACTTTACACGTGCACGCAACACACTCGCACATATCTAAACTATACATTACATTAAAAGCTCGGTCATTCGAAGTCGGTCACGTGGCGTAAGCGACAAAACGGGTGCAGGTTAATTCAGGCGCGTCGTGCATACCTAAATGCATGTATAAATAAATTCATCGGCCCGACGTGTTGTGTGTGTGTAACATTTCACCTGGAACAAAAGCGTCTCTGAATAGGTAATGCGTCGATGTATATAACGAAATGGAGTCAGCCTTGTTTTTACACGCGTACCCAATAAAGTCACCGGCTGCAGTATTTAAATTTAACGAAAAAAGAAAAAGAAAAAAAATTCGGTTAAAACGTTTCGGGTAGTGGGATTATGATCGCATATAAATATACCCGATCGTCTAACGGTTTGTTATATCGCAAGAGGCGCGAAGGGAGCGCAAGCGCAAACGTCTCTTCAAGACGGCGGGCAGTGCGCGATTTTCTTGCTCTCCCTTTGGAGCGTGCGTCGTCGAGGCATATACCTTATACGCGGACTGACACGAAGGGGGAGCTTGACCCTTGGTCAATGGCGTGCAGCGGCGAGAGCCCCGAGCATTATTACAGTTTGCGGCAGTTGCCTACCAACGTCTCGAGCATCGAGAGCTGCATTATATCGCATACGTGCATAGTGCGAGTTTTCTTTGATCCTTTGCGCGTATATCATACAAAGTCGAGGGAACCGATCCGAGGAGAACACGATGCTGTTCACTCAGCAGTTTACTCTGCCCTGTTTAGCCAAGTACCGAAAGTACGATCGATTTGTCGAATAAATTTTTAAAATAATATCTAAATCAACATTTTTGACATACATGCCACAGCGGAATAAATTCAACTTTATTTGTTTTCTGTTCGTTTTTTCTTCTCACTTACTGTGGGTGCAGGTCGCGAGCACCGAGCAAAGCGATGGAGCGCTACGAGAGGCTGGGCAGATTGGGCGAGGGCAGTTACGGCGTCGTCTTCCAGTGCAGAGATCGGCAAACGGGACGACTCGTGGCCGTGAAAAAGTTTCAACAGACCGAGGACGACCCGCTCATCAGGAAGATAGCCCTCAGAGAGATCAGGCTACTGAAGGTACACAAACATAAGACTTCTTAATTTACATAAACTCAAAAAAAAAAGAAAATATTTTTTTTCTTCAACGAACACACGGTAGCGACGAATAGAGTACTTTTTCTCGAGTCTCAAGCGTCGGATGAAATGCAACGTCGATCGGGGGTATACACTGTATAGATCGGCTATATTATACAGCATTATGTACCGCGGCGTCGAGTAGCTTTATACGTATATAAAGCACGTGAACGAGGCTCGCGCGAGTCCGAGCACGGGGTGAACAACCCCCGGCCGAGCAAGCTCGAGCCGGACTCTATCTCAAGCTTTGGTCACTTCCGTCGCTCATTCGGAATTTATATATTATGAACTCGCGACACGCATACCCTTTCACGTATACAGCCCCTTGTATCCTCCGCATTAAAGTCTCTCGTGCAAAATATCGTTGGTTTTTTTAGCTTATCGTTCGTGAGCTTGTAACGTGTGTGCATTACAGCAGCTAAAACAGCAAAATTACGGGCGACTTTTTGTGCAGGCACATCTGTATGCGATACCGACTGTTTGAATATTTTATCGTCGTTACGTTGCCGCATTTGTACATAGTCTTCTCGCTTTTTTTTTCTTCTTGTCGGTTTCGACTTGTTGTAGAAATTTTTTTATCGAAACTACTGCAGTGAATTTTTTTTCCATTATCGCAGCGATCGATATGAAACGCGCGTGCATACGGGTACGATACAAGCACATATAGAAATTAAAATTTAACCATACGTCGGCGAAGCTTCCAGACGTCGAATTACCCCGTTGATGAACGTAATTGTAGCTTCGCCAGCAGAATCTTGATCGCCCATCCGACACGACGTATGAAATTTCGAGTGTTTTTTTTTTCCTATCCGTGCACGCCGAATCGATCTCTCGTGCATTCGAACGTCATCGTCGTACGATATATATCACCCGTGCGAAAAACGTCAAAACGCAAAAATACGTCATGGAACGAAAAGATTCGAATCAATCGTAATCGTCGATCATGCGGCGCGAGCAAATGAAACGTAAGAGAAAGCGAAGGAAAAGAAAACAATTGGTGCACGATAAGCTCGTTACGTGTGTATATTTACCGTCGACGAAAAGGGCGAAATGTTGGTATGGCTCGCGTGTGTTGCGCTGACGACACAGACCACTGGTCAATACTACTACTACCCGCGAGGGAGCGTCGGTCAATATTTTCGTCTCTAGTCGACTGCAAGACACGCGAACGTAGACGTGTGCATGTGTGTGTGTGTGTATAAAATAATCCATGGCTTTTAATCCTTTATCGCAACTGCAGTCTGCAGCGTTGCGAATTTGTTCCTGTATAATTTCCTATAATTTTGTATTGGAAGAAAGGCCGTTAAACATGAGAATAGCAGTAAAAATGTTTTCGTATCAATGATTTTTATTTAATCGTAAGTTTCATTGCCAATTAGAGATCCAATTAAACATCTCGATATCTCGAAGCTTCCAGAAAAAGCACAGACACATTCTCAATCTTCCAGCGGCCGACGCGAAACTTCGCGTGAGAGATACGCAATCTTACAAGCCAGTTTCTACGACATCGCTGCATACGCGATATTTCTTCGTCACTCCAGATGGATATATGCATACGAGGTTCGCGAAGATTCGAAATGTGCACCCTCTCGCATGTGGGAAATTAAATGCTATAAGGAACGAATAAAAGAAGTCCGCGCGCGGACACCATTCATTTTCGTATCGTAGTACGTACGAGGAAATACTAATAACGACGATCGATTTCGCGAGCCCTGCAATCTTGAACCTGACCCCTTCGTGCACCAACGGCGTTAATTTCGGTGGCGAAATATAACGAGCTCGTCTAGAGTCGACAGCTTTGAGGAGGGAATTAAAATTTTTAATGAACGCGTGATGATTAGTGCAAATTTTCCCCAGAGTGAATTATGCATTCGTCAAGTTGTTGAATAAAAATGTTCAACCTTGGGGAAAAACACACCGATCTTCTTTTGTTCGTGGAGGACGCAGAAGGATAAAGACTTTTTTTGCACCTGTCATGTCAAGCACAAAAAGATTTTATATGCATGGATAAATTATGCATTAGCATTGAATAAAGAAAAAAATAAATGATTAATGATTTTTTTTAAAATTCCTCCACCTCCGATGATATGCTCGCACAGAATCTCAAACATCCAAACCTCGTGAACCTGCTGGAGGTGTTCCGACGCAAGCGCAAGCTCCACCTTGTGTTCGAGTACTGCGAACACACGCTGCTCAACGAGATGGACAAGTACCCGCACGGCTGTCCCGAGGCCATGATCAAGCAGCTCACCTGGCAGATACTCCAGGGCGTGGCCTACTGCCATCGTCTGGGCTGCGTGCATCGCGACGTCAAGCCCGAGAACATCCTCATCACGGCCGAGGGCGTGGTAAAGCTCTGCGACTTCGGCTTCGCTCGCATGCTCAGCCCCGGCGAGAACTACACAGAGTACGTGGCGACGAGGTGGTACCGGGCGCCGGAGCTGCTCGTCGGCGATACCCAGTACAGCACCCAGGTCGACGTCTGGGCCATCGGCTGCGTCTTCGCCGAGCTCATACGCGGCGAGGCGCTCTGGCCCGGCAAGTCCGACGTCGATCAGCTCTACATCATCAGGCGGACGATCGGTGATCTGCTGCCACGCCACATGGCCATCTTCCAGCAGAACGAGTTCTTTGCGGGGATCACGCTGCCGACCCCGCAGACGCTGACGCCGCTGGAGAGTCTCATGCCAGACACGGCCTCCTCGTCCATACAGCTGGACTTCATGAAGAAGTGCCTGGACAAGGATCCCGAGGAGAGGTGGACCTGCGATCAGCTGCTTCAGCACGTCTACTTTGAGAATTTCCACTTCAAAATGCCCGAGACCGAGGCGGACGAGTACGAGAAGTTGAGGAGCGTGAGGGAGAGGTCGAGGGTGAGTTTAGTCAAACCATTATTATTACCTTACCAGACAGATGCCATAATTTCAGGATACAAATTTGATTATTTCTATTTTTCAGCAACACTCGAACTTCAGTCAAATGATATTGCCGCAATTACCGAAAGCTTCGGGCTTCGCTCACGCGATTGGTCAAAATAACACTGAAACGAATCGGCCACGAAGCTCATCCCTGCGTCACCAGCAGAGCTTCGATCATTTGCCCGTTATAAGAGGCTGATGATAGACTAGTCGTGAAATTTTAACGGACAAACGAAATAGACGCTAAACTGTGATGATTGTATAAAATATGACAAAAAAAGGCCTCGAGTGATGGTGTTTTAATCATTTGTACACACACTTTCGTATAACCGAGTGTTCTATCCTTACGGCAGATTACATATTATATAATATATTAAAAAATTATATAAATAGAAATTCATGATGTAAATGATGAAGGCGATCATTGTAAAATATAATTGTAACGACGTTGACGACACTTTTCTTAATATTCATGCAGTCGCACATCACTCATCGTTTTGTGTTTCTCATCGTATACAATGCAACAGTGACAATCGTTCATTTTTTTTTCACTCATTCATATCAATTGTACACGGATATGGTGATTACGTAATCGTAAGATATGTAAGGTATGTCCTTCATGCTACAGAATTGAAAGAACCTTCCTGCGCTGGGGCGTCCATATATAATGTATAAAAGCGGAAGTACATTATCTGAAAATTGAAATTATTTCTACTCGTTTTTCAACAAGATATTGCAAGATAATTTCACTCGCGTATTTTTTAACAAAATTGAATTTCCGACGAATGTCTATGGATATTATGGGTTTATAAAATTCAGCCAAAAATCAAAATTATAATCCGGTCCATTATTTTGAGTCACCATAGAGCCTTTTGAAGAAATATTCAATACAAGTTTCAGAAAATTGGATTGAAATTTTGATATTTTGGTTGACTTTTATATTTCCTTATGTGTGCAAAGCAATATCTTAATAATAGGACATTCCATCATGTCGATTTAGAGTTATGATGTCAAAAGAATTAATACTACCTAATTTGATAGCAATGAAAATTGAACAAGGGCTATGTAAAATAAGGGGTTCCACTTTTGAAAACAAATTTTTAACAGGTACAAAAAACATGATTTTTAGGCTCTAAAATTTAGTTGCATACGCTGTGAAAATGAAAGCAAAATTATTTTTGCAGGCATAATAGTTTGAAAATAAGAACATCTAAAAAGATGTGAAGCTTCTTTATATTTTTTTTGTAAATAAAACGAAATAAAAATCGAAACCAAAATAATAAAATCTAAGATATTTATGGAATTTTTTTTTTTAATTGATTCATTTTAATGACATAGATAATTGGCTTCATTGAATAACGCCATACATTGAAAATGCAGCAAATATGCTAATTAACATCATGATTTGTGAAGTTTCACCGCAAAGCAAATGTTGCATAAGTCTCGATTTTTTAGTTTCTCGAGAATTATTTCGCATATCTCAATCGGAAGCCGATAGTGTATCAGTCCCCAAAAAGGATCCAGTGCCCATTTTTGGAAAAATCCTCTCGATAGTTTCTCAAAGAGATGCAGAGTGCAAGCCTCTCTCTGCTGTTTGGAAAATTTATACAAATATTTTGAGTGCATGAATTTGAAGAAGTCCGAATATAAATTAATTTTTTTGGCCTCTTGAGGTTCTATGCGGGTCAAGTCGTAAAGTGAATAGCTCGAATTTATCTTGATCTTTCTCGCTTTCCTCGTAAACTTCTCGTCATCATACCAATATATTTCAGCATCTGTCGGTCTCTCGAGCTTTGATTTCTCGAACAATCCGTACGTACCGTATAATAATGTCATGATAGTTAAGACATCGCTTCGGTCCAGTACGTAATTTCTTTTATCAAGCTGTTGGAAGACGGCCAGAGCACCAAAACCAAGTTGCAATATCAATATTAAATTTTCCTCTTCGCTCGTGAACGATTTCAAACATTCGTCGAAATGACTCTGAGTGGGGAAAACGAAACTAGACAGATCGGCGCCACGATCCAAGAGAACGTCGACCACATCCGGCTGTAGACCCGCTACGGCCCATTGCAAAGGTGTTCGGCCCAACTTGTCCCGGGCCTCGATGTTCAACGGCTGATTTAATCCGTCATAGATCTCTAGTAACGTTTTCGTCAAGCCATACTCGTTGCCCATCGTGTAAATCAAGTGCAAAGGTGTCAATCCCTCTGCATTAGTTAAATTAGGATTAGCACCTCGGCTCATCAGCGATTTGACCGCCTTCTTTTTGTTTTGGCGCAGAGCGAGATGCAATGGTCGGTTACCCCATTTGTCCGGAGCATCGATGTGTACCTGTTGATTTAATTCGTCATTGACCCTGAAAAACACATCCACCATGTCATCGATGCGTCTGCTTCTTTGGCAAATATGGTGCAGAGGAGTCAATCCGTCCGCATTGGGCAGGTTCGGACCGGCACCTTTTATTAACAGTAATTTAGCCACCTGTAAGTTGTCGTATTTCAGAGCCAAGTGCAGCGGTGTATTACCCAAATTGTCTTGGGCATCAACCCACAACGGTTGATTAAATTCATTATGGATCTCGAAGAGTAGCTGCGCCAAGTCACGATCATCGTTGAAATAATCCTTGCAAATGCAGTGCACAGGAGTCAGTCCTTCTGCATTGGGCAGATTCAAATCTGCGCCCTGTCTCAATAAAAATAGGACCAAATCTTTACGACGACGAGACTCGATCGTGTGTGCGGTTGTCAGACCTGACATCTGACACATAGCTTTCGCAAAACAGATCGTGTGTCGGTAATGCTCGTATTCAGACCTCAGAGGATTTCCAAGGTATTTATCTTTCAGCGTTAAATTCTCGTGGGCATGGTCCAAAACCAAGAGCAATGGAGTGTTACCCAACTTGTCCTGGGCATTGACCTGCACTGGTTGATTATTTTCGTGACTGAGCTCGAATAATATCTTTGCCAAGTCAACGAGGCCTTTCGAGCAAATCAGGTGCAGAGCAGTCGATCCAGCCGCATTGGCTACATGCGGATCAGCGCCTCTTCTCAGCAACAATTCAACCATTTCCTTGCTTTCATTGAGCAGAGCTAATTGCAATGGTGTATTGCCCAACTTGTCCTGAGCATTGACTTGCACCGCCCGATGTTTATCATCGCTTATTTTGAAAACCATCTCCAAGAAGTCATAAGAGCAGTGACGACAGATAATGTGCAGAGATGTAGATCCTTTTGCATCGGTCAAATTTGGACTAGCTCCACTATTCAGTAGTAATTCGGCTACCCTCTTGTGGTTATGGTAGAGAGCCAAGTGCAATGGCGAATGAAGGAATTTCTCGGCCGATTCTTCAGGTAGGCAATCGGGATCCTGGCCGAGCTCGAGAAATTTCTTGACAATATCATAACACCCATGTGCGCAGGCTACATGGAAATGCGTTAATCCAAATTCGTCGGTATAATTCACATCGAACCGTTTGTATATTTTGAAAAGACTAGGGATACTTTCAGAAAGTTTACGCTCGCTCAAAACTCCGCACTCGTCTCTAGCCGCACGATGCAGTGGTGTGGTACGACGCAACAATGGCTCGCCGTCTTCGTCGACTTCCGGCTTGTCTCTGTAGCCGCTGTGGATCACGAGCTCAACAATCCGTTTTCCCTCATAATTTTCCTCATCCGTGTTAGACTTCTTCGCGGCCTTCCAGAGAAGATGCTCGATTTCTTCGCGAATCGAAAGAGGGCGATTAGAAGATAAGATAAAAAGTTCCAAGTTTGAGCGTTCGTTAAGGTTAACCTCGCAACCTTCACCTCGAATTCTGAACATTTTTTACTATGCGCTTACACTTCCAACAAAAAATCACTGATATAAAATAAAAATTTCACTTTGTTGCTTATTATGTAGTGTCTAGATGTGCACTGACTATTACACGTAGTACGATCTAAGCACTTGGTCGAAATTATTAAATATGAAAGATACGTAGCATGAGCTGTCGTATCTAAAACGTGGACGCGCACATGTGCAAGTGAGAGAGACAGATACACTTACGCGACGCGGCATAGATGATGTCATTATAGGCTGCTTTCACCGAATTTGGATATGGTCCAAGACTTGGTATAGGAATAGGAATTCGACCCGCATTGACGCGTGCGCGTCGTAAAAATCGTTACATCACTTATCTGACAACAATAGGGGAATGTCGGGTAACTGCAGCAGCGGGGGGTAACGCAGGAAATGGTAATTTTCAAATAAAAATGATGATCCAAATCATTTTTTTGTATTTATCACTGAAGATAAGTTGTTTGAAGAGATTGTTCAAAAAATACTGGAAATGTTGAATAAAATCAAAATCACTTGCAATCGGTACTCACTACCGAAATTTGAAAGATATCGAAAATATATATCAAAATTGTTTTGAAAATTGCAAAAAAATCAAATCAATTATCGGGCTGCGTTTTTTGAGACCTAAATTAAAAAGAACATCTAAGAAATTTGAGTAAATCTAAAATATTAAGGGGCTACTAATTTTTTTAAATCGATGGTACAATTACCGATGTCTTGGACAAATCTAACGCACTAGATCGGTTCATCCCACCGGCCCAAGACCTCCCTAGATCTGTCGTACCGCTATAAATCCATCCATAAACCATTTCTAGAAAAACAACAAAAAATTAGTTCATACTGTGAAACTTCAACAAAATCCTACAAAAAAAATTAAAATCCAAGCAAATTAACAATTTAATGTCAATCCGATGTCAAAATTGTCTATGATTCGATTGTTTACAATCAAGTTTCCGATTTATCTGCTTATACATATTTGTTTTTAAATATTATATAGAATTTCACATCACAGAGATATAAGTATTTGAAACTATGACTTAATTAGCATTGTATATTATTTACTTTTCGAGAGCGACGAAAAGATCTGCTTGATCTTCATGTTATATCGTATAACGACTTTTCTTTAATAGTCAATTACTACGAGAGTAAATAGGACGTTCCATTTAAGATTTTGAAGTATTAAAACTTTTCCCGCGATGAAAAGAAATATAAAAAGTGAAAATGATAAGCCAAAGAAGCTATGTGTAAATCGGAATGAAGAAACTAGGAGCTCTGAAGATTCGACTGGTTTAACACCAGCAAACGGTAAACAATACAATTTTTACATTTTGGATAATTCTAATTTATTTATATAAGACTAGTTTGATCATAAAAGTTATATTGGATATTGTCATAAGAAAATTATAGAATGCATGTGACGTTGCAGTTAGGAGATCTCTAAAAAAGTGAAAGACTTGTTAAAAAATTCATGCCTATTATTTTTTTTATTTATGAATTAATATTTCTCTCTTTTTTTCCTTCGAATATCCGTCTAAAGTTTCTGGTTTACTAAACGATGAAGCAGAATCGACACTCATCAATCAAAATAATCAAGTCGGTGCTCAGTCTGTAGATTTATTAGAACCTGCGGCTATTGCTGGGCCTTCAAGACAGTCAAGCAGCGAATCCACGGCGCAAAACTCTTCCAAAATAGAGGTGAGTTTACTTTAATTTATCTACAAAAATTATCTTTTGCTTCGATTGTATTTTGCAAAGATGATGTAGACTATTGAAACGCATTAAAAGTATAGTTATAGAAATCAGAAACGTTTGTTTTTTAGGAGTCGAGTAATAACGAGCTTCTTCACCTTCCAATAGAAGAATCGGACATTTTTATAAGTCAATTCGTGGAAGAGTTCCAAAATAAAAAAGGATCTTATGAATACTTCATGAAGGCTTTGGCCGAATATCGCGAGAATATAATCGGTTACATCGAGCTGAGGCGACGAATGTTTTGCGTCTTCAGAAATTACCCGAAATGGACAGAAAAAATTAATGAATTTTTTCCAAATTATTTAAAACTTCCAATAAATAATTGTAATCGCGAGACGGAAAGCAGTGATACCGATGACGAACATGTATAATTATTATAGTATCAATTTACTTGTAATTAGTTTAATATTTTTATTTTTTTTTTTTTACTAATATAAAATAAAATTAAAGTACTTCCACACAATGAAATTGTTATGCACCTGGCTATATGGTATATGTGTATTGCATTTGAGGGTATGTCGTATGTGAATGAGTATGCGCGAAAGCTCGACATATAGCATCAAGATAACAAAAGCTTGTTGCATGGCCGCGATACAGCTACGATATTGTTTCGCTTTTTCGCGAACCTACTCTCCTCGCTCGTGCATATAATATGTAGCAGCTGAAATGTACCAAGAGGAGCGATCCATTAAATTATCAAGTCCGCCACTGCTTATATATTTTACCGCGTACTGTATAAATTTGTTTCGCGGGCAAAAAGTAAGAAATTCAATGTAAAACTCGACGATCGACGATTGCAGTCTACGCGCGCAGGTGATTAAAATATTCCGCGAGTCCATGTGCTTGTGGCTGCAGCATCGTCGATGATAAAATGGTGACACATTTTAATGTCGCTTGATTTACATTCGCCGAGCAACTGGATCCAGTCCTCTCGAAGTCAAAGCAGCGTGTACGTATTACACCGTTCGAGAGCGAGCGAGTAAATATATTTTACATACCAGCGGGCCGAAAGTAGCATTTCGTCGGCTTCGCCTCGGTCGCTTATTTCACGTGCCCTGGAACTTTTCTGTTTTTCCCGGCCTAGGGCAGTAATATACTATATCGAGCTGCATAGGAAAACGTCGAACATTGGCGTAGGATATATAATTACACTTGTAAAGCGCGACAGCTCTCTGTAATCGGAGTCCGCGTATGTACCTATATATTGTACACAACTAGATAGGTATACTGCGCTGCGAGAGCAACATTTTTGCTCGCTCGAGTTTGTGGCGCGCAGGAAAATGGATGGATATCGACACGTGAGCTGGCAATGCAAGCTTGAGTAACCTTTGTGGGCACCCGTTAAGTTCAACAAATAAGTCTTTTCTTATGATGGAGGCTAAAATGAACATTATAAATATTATTTGTAAGCTTTGTAAAATAATTTAACTCATTAATTATAATTCTTGTATCGTATGCACCTTGAGTTCTCTAGTCGTATTTTTTCTAGTCATAACTAACATTTGTATTTAAATTGATCGTTTAATTTTTTATCAGCCACAGTTAAAGTTTTTGTTCTTAAAAATAATTCGGTTTTTAACGTAACTTCTGCACTTGAAATCTCGCGCTCCTCCACGCGTCCGATCGCAAATTCATTTCTTCGATTCTCATTTTTTTCAAACGTGAATAAAAAAAACCTCTATAGGTTAATGCTACGCAAACAAAGGTTTTATTTACCAGTATCTGGTAATTATATTTTCATTTCAAAGGAAAAGGTAAGCAATAAAGTATACAAACTATTATCATCCGAATCACGTAAATAAATGCAATATCGTGCTTGATATCGAACGAAAAAAATCAATTCAAAGTCTATGCATTGCATACCTATGCACGGCATCTGCATCCGAAACTCTCGTGTGTGTCTCGCTTACCCGCCTGCACGAATGTGTGCCGTGCATGTGCATCGCGGAGAGCTTGCAAGCTCGTGCGCACTGCGTCAAAGTGTAGTTCTCGAAGACACACGTACAACGACGAGCCGCTCACTGCACAGGCGCACGATCGTAGCTTCGAAGCTCTCTCAGGGTTGTGCCCGCTCAGCGTACTTGTGTGCGGTGCGCGTTTCCTATTTACGCGGAGAATAAAGCACATCTCTCGAGCTGAGGCTGTGCAGTTCTCGCTGGCGCGAATTCGCGACGGTATCATGAAGTGACCGCGCGACATTCGTTGCATTATTATAGAAGAGAGAGAGAGTTTCGATCGAGAAGTTCTTTCTCTCTCTCAGTTTGCTATCCACATAAGCCAGTCGATATAGAAAGGCGCGCGCGCGAGTGCATCGCGGTATATATGTCATACCTTCTCAGGTGGAGCGCTCGAACTGCAGCGCGACCTTGAACTTATTTTGTTCGCGCAACTGCGCGCGGGGAGACACAAAAAAGAAGTGCAACGTGTTCGAAGCCAGCGATATACCTTTGCACATCGGTGTGTGGCATCTTTTACGTAGCTGCATATAGTGCGCGAATTAATTGGTGGCTCGACGATCGATCATTTCGCGTTATAGAACGCGTTGGCGGTGGCGTTGAAAATTTTGAGCGCCGCGACGAAGTAGCTTTGGCAGCTACTTACCCTGCGCCTGACAGATACAGAGACAGAGAGCGTAATTTAACTAATTGCCTTAAACTACTTAGGATATAAATAACGTTAACATTTCATAACGCCGTTTACGCGCCTTATTATTATCACTGTATACAAGCTTATAGTTCGATTAGTCTGTGGATTTGTATAAACGTCTACGATATTTTTGATACTATACTCGAAATTATTAATCGAGACACGTGCGATCTCGAGAATCTGCAAAAACGAGTCGGCAGCAGCAGTACACGCGCGCCGCAGCAGCAGTTTGACATTAAAGCTCTGCCGCGCGCACCTTGAGAAAGCAGGTAAATCCGATACGCTATTTCGCACGAAATGTCTAAATAAAGCAGCTACACTCGAAGTCGCTCAAAAGCTCGCACAGTTATAATTACGTGCAGTACCTCTAAAAATAATAATCAAGCAATGACGTGCCCGTACTGATCTGCGTTATACGCGCGCCGATTTTCTCTGCTTCTAGATCTTCTGCGTCCACCCTGAGGCTGTGCGTGCCTCTTCTGCATAAGTGCGTGCATTTAGCAGCGCAAATGGCCAAATTGTCGTCCGGCTATGACATGCCGCTCGTCGGGCTCGGCACGTGGCAGGTATGTGCAACGACGCCGCGAACTCATTACATCCAACCTTATAGTTTTCGTAACGATGGCATTTTAATTTTCGACAGGCCAAACCGGAAGAAATGGAGCAGGTGATAACCACGGCGCTCCAAGCTGGTTACAGACATATCGACACTGCATTTAACTACAATAACGAGGAGTCCATAGGTAAGAGTCTCAAGAAGTGGTTCGCCGAGGGCGGCAAACGCGAGGATCTCTTCGTCACGACGAAGCTGCCGAACTTTGGAAATCGGCCGGCCGACGTCGAGAAGTACCTCAAGCTGTCGTTGGAGAAGCTCGGCTTGGACTACGTCGACATGTATCTCGTGCACATGCCGTTCTCCTTCGTCAAGGACGAAAATTCCGAGACTCAAGCCAAAGACGCCGAGGGCTCTTTCATTCTTGACGTTCAGGATCCAGTACAAGTGTGGAAGGTAAAAACAGTCGGTTCAGAATATCTGTCGAAAAAATTCTTAATGCGCTAATATATGCATTGTCTCTGCAGGAAATGGAGAAACTCGTAAAATCCGGGCGCGCGCGCTCCATCGGCCTGAGTAACTTTAACATCGACCAAGTGCAAAGAATTTTGAACAACTCCGAAATAAAACCCAGCAATTTACAAGTGCGTTCGAGAAAATTAAATTGTAAAACGTAGTGCCAATTGGATAGGAATAAATCTGGACAAAATTTGTAGGTAGAGTTGCACGCTTACATGCAGCAACGGCCTCTGCGCACCTTCTGCGCGGGACACTCGATCGTCGTGACGGCCTACAGTCCGCTCGGCTCGCCAGGTGCCAAGCAGCACTTCCAGGCCAAGTACAATTACAGTCCCGACAAATTCCCGGATCTGCTGGGGCACCCGGTGGTGAAGAGGATCGCCGAGGAGCACGGCAAAACGACGGCGCAGATCTTAATCAGGCACGCGGTGCAGGCCGGCGTCGTGGTCATACCCAAGAGCTCGAATCCCGAGCGAATCAAGTCCAACGTCGACGTGTTCGAGTTCAAACTCACGGACGAGCAGATGCAGGAATTGGACGGCTTGGATCAGGCCGAGAAAGGACGGATATTCGATTTTCGCTTTTTCAAAGGGTGAGGCGAGCGTTGCGAATCGTTACTTGGATAAAAAAGTTTGTATAGATATCTAAAATGAGCATATTTTGTGTTACAGCGTCGAGGAGCATCCGGAATATCCTTTCAAAAATGAGCTCAAATGAACATCAACGATCTCTGAAGAAAACAAACTTTTTTTAAGATATCGATATAGTTCATTAAAATATAATAAATTTTATTTTCTTATAATGAAATCTGGGGATTATTCTTGCAAACTAAACCAATAATTAACAAATACTTGTTTAATAATCTAATAACTTTTTATTACAAATTGTATAAATGCATAACTTTTAATGGAATGCATCATAACACAAAATTAGACTCTATACAAACAAAACTCAATTTTGTCACGTCGTAAATTGCGCGCGATACACAGCTTGCATTAATCATAATTTTTTTACTCAACATCTCTTTGGTATTTTGTTCTAGCTTGTTTTTTTGTTTTTAATTTTTTTTTCTAAATTAGTTTATGCTTAGCGGTTTGACCTTTAATTGAATTTTCGATCGGTTAATTCGACTACCAAAAGCACAAGCAAATTATTTTTAACGAGCCTTTATACCTTTCAAAGATATAAAGTCCCAATTTTTTCATACATTTTTTAAAGTAAAATTTTCATGTTTCGAAACTGAAAACTCCAGTATAGGCCAAGACATTCACTTATTTTTAACGAATACCTCGCTCTTAAAGGCACACACTACAATTCCATCTTCAGGAGGCTTTTATGTGCGTAATTTATTCTACGTTTTCGGTTTATTTTTGCATTATACTGGCCATTATTATGATTGAGTACACCCAATTCGTTTTGGAAACGAAGTAGAAATGCCACTAGGCCATCGAGAATAGTATGTTCAGTTACCCCTGAAGACTAACACTCGTTTTATTACCTCGCATCAATCATCTATCTGCCAAATCTCGTCGTCAATCGTAGGTGCAGTTGACTGAGGTTCTTCCTCTTCCTCTTCGGCAATAGGCTGCTCTTTTTTCGGCAATTTTACAGGTTTGACCGTCCAAAAGTGGACCTTATGTTTTTGATTGACATAAGTTACAATATTTGAAGGCGCTGGAGACGACAACATGGGTATACTGTCAGAGTCTAGGCCTGTCTCTTCCATTCTGTCATCCAGCCTCAATGAAGTGGAGACTTGGGCTTCGAGTGATCCCATTTTTTGTCTCATCGTTATGGCTTCGTTTTGTTGAAGTTCTGTCCATTCTGCATTTAGAAGGGCTTGAAGTTCAGAAACTCCTTCTTGACTTTTTGGTTCAAAATTTTTGCTATCTTGAGACATACTGACAATACTTTCTTCAAAGATTATAAGTTTTTACAATTTTTACTCAATTACAATGACTAGATAATTCATTGACTAGTTGACAATTTTAATACAAGTTTCAAACATTTTACTCAATACAATAAAAAGAAGAAACAGTAAACAACAAGGACCTATTAACCTAAAGTTTTAGTAGTAATACTTTTCTATTAGCAACATTTGTTCGTGGATCACAACCTCATTATTATACTGGCAAGGTATTGCCTTAAGCGAGACACCAGATAAAGTTTACTTATCTTTGTTTTGTATTTAAAAGGAATATTTCATAATACTGAATGTTCTGAAGAAATTACCTGCAAATCCTTTTGTACGCTACAAATTTTGAGCTACATTCTCTTGTATAGTCTATATACAATTTTAACAAATATAATTAAATATAAATAAGAAAAAATTAAGTTCTTCCTTCAGTGATGAGGTAACTTTATCGTAGACAAATTAATTTTCAAGAAAGAATAGTGTTTTATCAGCACGACAGATTAATGCAACACTTACTAAATACATAAAAAAAAGTTTTCTTAGGATAGAACCCATCAGAACGATGTGGGACCAGACAGACTGGTCCCACATCAAAAGACTAAAGTGACAATGAAAGTTGTTCACAATATTGATTATATTGCTGTACTTTAGCATGAAAAGGCAGTCCATATTATAATATAACAGCAGTCTATATTACAAGTACAACTGATTCTAGAGCTTGGTTTACAATCTTGACACTATTACAAGGGTTTTAAGAGCTTCATGATTGATTAAGTGAGTTAGATAATAGCACGTAATAACCTGAAAATAAATCAGTCAAGTTATCGTAACAATTGATCCTTTTTCAGAAATGATGATTAATTTATAATATTTACCATTCAACTTTTCACTAATGAAACGAAAAAATAAAAAAATTACATTTCTTCTTTTTCTATTGATTGTGTTGAGATCGTTCTATTTTTTGACAGAATCAGAAAATTTTAACTAACTAATGATAGACTAATAAAAATATTCTAAAACACTTTGTTTAGCACCGCAAAGAAATAAAAATTGTGCCACTAACGTGCAAACAGCATAATGTACTTCAATACATTTATCAAGATCAAAAGATAAAAAGTTAGGCTAGAATAAGCTTGTTGTCATAGCAGACAACGTTGTGCGCTCTACTGTCACTATCAAACTTGCAAGTTGCAAGTTGCAGAAACAGCTATGGACAGACCGATATCTGTTGTACTATACCTACGGCATATTCGTCGTTGGAAAAATCTTAGAATTAAATTTTTTTAAATAAGGAAATTATTGACTAAACTAATTAAATTATTGCACATAATTTATTTTTATAAAAGATAATTTAAATTTGTATAAATTAAGTACACAATAAATATTTCATAAAAATTTGATGCAACAAAATTTCTAAAAAATAGTAACTTATGGATAAAATCTCTTATGTAACATTATACATATTTTCATTTCATGAACATTTCAGTCATTTTTATTAAATGCAAAAATTAAAATGAATTCTATTTTCAACAGAGAATTTTTAAAATTCCCAAGAATCCAACCAATGTAATGAATGTAAAGGACTTTTTGGGTCAGTAGCCGGTAAACCCTCAATGCCATATGCCAATGGCGAAAATAAGTAGAAACTGTAAAGATTAAAAGAAAATAATAATTTAAACGCAAAATAAAGTATTCAAAATTTATTTAAATATGTTACCTGTAAATAATTGCATAGGCGACCAAACCCAGTAAAATGTGATAAATAGTTTTACCTATTTTTTCTGGTAGTATCAATAAAATACTATCTAAAATATAATTTATAGTAGTTCCTGTGAGCATTGAACTGTATATCAAAGCTGGAAAATAATGATGGAAATAAAGGATGCGAGTCATTGCCCAAAAAGGCAAGTAATGAAGTATCCATCCGATAAAAAGCCAGCTTCCCGCGTTCATTATGGTTTTTCGTTGGCTCACAAGGGCTGGATCTTCTTCAAGTCCTCTTTGTTCACGTATACATGCGTTCAAGTAAACGATCGCGAAAATTAATAGAAAACCGATGTTGGACCACCAAATGACTGGATTACCAAGAAGATAGATTTTAATGTTATTTCCAGAGAAAAACTGACCCTAAATAATTAAAATTTTTAAATTTAGTTTGCTGAAAATAATTCAATTCTTAACATAAACATATGAAGTAAATAATTTACCCTATAATTTATTGGCCACTGCCACGGTTTTGAAGTAACTTCACCTTCTTTGATTTTTAAATCTGAGTTACCTTGCAACATAACTGCATGAGATTCGAAAAATCGTTTCAAGAACCCTGGTGCATATACTTGAAAGCTGACATTTGGCACTAAAAAAATGTAGATAATTTCAATTTCATTTGAAAAATTAAAAATTTAAATAATACTCACACTTATCATAATTATTGTCTTCAATGTTCCACAAGGCATTTTTATCTCTTATGTTAGGATTGCAACTTACTTCCTGTTGACTGTAAGCCCTGTACAAAAACGTATTTTAATTTCAGCAAACTGTTCATTTAATAGTTATTTCTTTCATACTTGCCATTTGGGTAATGTTTTTCCACTTGATGTTAAAGCACAATGATTTAGATAATGAACAAATTTAAGTTTACTTGTAACTGTTTCTACCAAATCTCCTTCTTGACCATGATTTATGATTACTTTCCAGACATCATTCGCATCACCTTTCCCAGACTACAATAAAATAATATTAATGAATTTTTATATTTTTTCATTTTTGAATACTCAATTTTACCTCTCCGTATCCAGTTACTTGGTAATGCTTTTTTGACAAAGGAGCAAATTCTTTATGGGAATGTAAATTGCGTCCAGTAATAACATGTTCTAAGCGTACTAGATCACCATGTTTTATCAGAACAGGCTCTGATGGAATGTCTTCACTATCATATTTTTTAATTAACCAGAAATTATTATCATCTTTATGAGAGTATGTAGTAACTTGTTGTTGACGAGCACCAACCCCCTCAGGATATAGGTGCCAGTGGGAATGTAAATAACCACCACCAGTACGATGATTTTTCAAAGTGACTTTGGCACCATAAGCTAAATGTCTAGGCATAGATGCATTATACAAAGAATTTCCTTCAAGTAGAGACTGGAATTCTGAACTATAAAATCCATCCCCATTGCCACTGCAATTGAAAATATTAATATCATGATAAATTAGTAGATAAATAAACAAAAATATTTATTACCTTTTATTCAAGACAGCGAGATGTATATAGAAAAAAAGCATGTAGCACATTACAGGTATTATTATCAAACAAATTATTCTTGCAATTAAGTGCTTTGCCACAGTGATCTGTAAAATAATTTTTTTTTCAAATTCTATACATAAAATGAGCTATTTAATTATAATACAAATATCTTACCACAGATTGATTTAAATCTCCTAATTCCCTCCAAAGTTCATAAATTGTATAAAATCCTACTAATAAAACTACAAATAATCCAACAAATTTAACACTAATTGTACATGCAAGAGATATTCCAGTGAAAGTCATCCAAAACCACCATGAAAATGTGAATGGTTCTTTATACAAAGATCCCACACGTACCATGCCATACGTAGCACACATCATGAAGCACAAGAGAATAGGATCCAATAGAATATATTGATTCAATGTGAGTAAACCAATATCTGAAAATAAGAAATGATTGATGTATCATGTCTCTGAGTATTAATACATCTTACGAAATTGGATTTATATAAATCTTACCAAACAAAACTAAGCTAGCTGACAAAAATGCTGCTGTTGTAGATTTAGTTAGTTCCCATACAGTTAAAAATGTTAAAGGTACTATACTAGCTCCCAAAAATGTACAAAACTGTAATAATAGATAATACAATCAATATATTTTTTAAACATTCAATGCTCTTTATTTGATTATTAATTAAATGAAGAAAAAACTCACTATTCTCATGCCTATATAATTAACATCTTCATATTTATCACCAGGTTTTTCAAAAGGAAAAGTACCATCATAGCCTGTTAGGTACCCTGATAGTCCAATGAGCATCTAGGAAAAAACATTAAATTATTCTATGAAAAAATCGTAATAATTTTACTCAAATACACACTTTTCCCAAAGGTGGGTGTACGTCAAAGAAGAAGGTCCGGTTAATGTACCAACTACCCATTTTGCCAAAATGCGTTTCATCCCAACTGTAAATATATGAATGTATCAAATTTTATTTCCAACTGTGGGTCAAATTTTCATCAAAATTTTTTTCATTGCTTACCATACATGATCAGGTTCAGTGACCTTATAAAATCTTGTTGCCGCTGTCAGTAGAAGAATAATTGTAAAAAGAATCCACCAGTTTCTAAAATGATGCATATAAGCAAATCATGACTTTTCTTAATTTGACATTTCAAGTTGTACATTTTACTCACGTTTCATCCTTTTCGTTTTGTTTATCCTCTTTCAATTTGTCAGATTTATCGCCTTCTCTGGCGACTCTACCACTAATATTTGCCATCGTGCAGTCAATCCTTTTAAAAGAGAGGGCCGATTAAACTTCCAAAACTATCATTTTTTTGTCTTTATCAGCACAGCTACGTGTAACCGACTTTATCGTATTATTTCGAGTTTCTGATGTTTGAAACAGATTGACACTTCAACCTAACAACAGGTTGACACGTCTGCTCGGGTGTATGTATAGGATGCCTGTGCATACGCAGAGAGTACACGCCGCGAGTGAACATGGTTGGTGGTACCGCTATCCCCGTATGCTTTTTATCGCACCGAGTCAGTCTCCGCGATCGTGCAGCCACTCTAACTGTACATTAGCCGATCGTTAAATTCGCTTTCGAATTCTCTCTTCGCGGTTCGAACGTGTGCGCGACTGGCACCTTCGAGTCGCTGTCGTCAATTGTTTTTCTACATTATCAATAGGATGCCAAACGCAAGTTCATTTCATAAAATTCATGTAAAAACTTGTGTAGGACAAGGTCGAAAATAAACCGTCGACAAATGGAACGAATTTTTTCGTCCGAGAGATTGTAAACATTCGACGCCTGCATTACAGTTCGTACACACGTGTTCTTTGTTCGCGAAACGTTCATCCGTCCTTCTCGCTCCAACGTAAACAGTGCGTTGTGCGAACAACGCGATTTGCGCGCGCACGGTCGGGGGTTCAAATTTCTTCGAAAAATCACTGCGATAGTCCGCAGTCGTATAACCGGCTTTTTCGCAGCCGCACATTGTGTCAGTGTGTTTCAGCACGCGACAAAGAACTGTCGTGGTGGGAACGTAGTTACGTCCGTGTGCAAGATAAGCTGAATTGCCGATTTTGTTGCTTGCAAGTTAATATCACTAAACATTTTCTCTATTGAATATTAGCTTGAAACAGCTAAAATCTCTCGGAAAAAGACTAAAAATAGGTGAGTTAAATTAATATGATTAAGAATTCAGTGCATATCGAAGAGTCGACGGTTGAAATATATGAAATAATTTTCCGTTAACGAATGACTCGACGACAAAAGTTCGTTAAGAATCATGCTGTATTTTGTAGTTATGAAATGTTCGTTTTACTTATTAGTAACTTAGTTTTCGTTTGAAAACAATTTGCGTCTTTATGCAATATGCAATTCGATTGTTATAAAATGTTTAACCATTAATCACAAATTGTCATCATAATCTACAGATTTACCAAGATGGATCTTCTGAATTTATTTGATTCAAAGAAGGAATTTAGACGTGCTCCTGTAGCAGTTAGAAATAGAAATGATGATACTTCAAGTGAATATTCTGAGTATAATACCGTATACTCTTGTGCAACGGATTTTCCAGTTTATTCGGGTACTGACTATGCAAAACGATATCAAGAAGAAGAAAAAGAATTGATCATGCAAGTTCAGGTTTGTTTAGCCTAATTTTTATAATTGATTTGTAGCAATGTATGTCAAATTGTTTCAACTGTACATTTTTATATTGCAGAATGTTAAGATTAATGATCCCAATGATCCAATGGATCTCATATCAGAAGGGACCGTCCCGGTTAGTCTTGCAACTGAGTTAACACAAGCAAAAAGTATGGATCCACTTGATAAAAAATACGACTTTGAACACCGACCTTGTAATTTGCCTATTATGGAAAATAAAGAAGATATATTGAACATGGTCAATTCACATATGATAGGAATTATTGAAGGCTCTACTGGTTGTGGAAAATCAACTCAAGTACCTCAGTTTTTTTTAGATTATTGTCGTGAACATCATTTGAACTGTAACATTATTGGTGAGTGCTAATTTTTATGATATTGAATATATTCAGATAAGTAATTAAATTGTAATTTATATGATGTTTGTTTTAAAACAGTGACTCAACCCAGAAGAATTGCAGCTTTGAGTATTGCTAAAAGAGTTGCTAAAGAAAGGAAGTGGCCTTTAGGATCAATAGTTGGCGTTCAAGTTGGAATGTTTAAACTAGTCTCAGCAGATACAAGATTGACATACTGCACAACTGGTGTATTATTAAATAAGTTGATGCAAGCTAAAAGTTTAGCTGAATATACCCATATTATTATAGATGAAGTTCATGAAAGAGATAAAGATATGGATTTTCTTTTGCTGGTTATAAAAAAGTTAATTGCAACCAACAGTCGGAATATTAAACTTGTGTTGATGTCTGCAACATTTAATGTTGACAAATTCTCAAAATATTTCGCTATAGCTACTGAAAAAGGCCTCATGCCTGCTCCAATCACGTCAGTTGCAAAAAAACGAAATTACAAAGTATTTATTCATTACCTTTGTCAGATTCATGTTTTGGGAGCTGTAAGGATACATTTAAAATTAATATATATTTATTTAGCTTTTGAATTTTAAAAATTACAAACAAAAATTTTTTTTTCCAGGTCCCTGAAGTTAGTTTTGAAAAACCTGAAGTTTCACATCATATGATGCAATTTTGCATTCGGCTTTTAAAAATTTTTGATGAAATTGATTTGAATGATGAAATGGATGATGATGATAATACTGATAATAGGCAGCGCCATACTGTACTAATGTTTCTACCAGGAATTTATGAAATCGAAGAAATGCATGGTCTTCTATCAAGTTTTACTGACTTAAAATGGGATATAGTGGTATTACATTCTTCTATTACTCATGAAGAACAATCCAAAGTATTTACACCACCTCCTAAAGGATACCGGAGAGTCATTTTATCTACTAATATTGCTGAAAGTAGTATCACAATTTCTGATGTGAAGTATGGTAAGAAAAACTAAAAATTTTAATTTAAAAACTGTTTATACATTATACATTTATTCAAATCTATTCTAGTTATTGATTTCTGCCTATCAAAACAACTTGTTACTGATCAAACTACAAATTTTCAAAGTCTGGAACTTTGTTGGGCTAGTAAAGCAAATTGTGACCAACGTAGTGGACGTGCCGGCAGAGTAATGGATGGAAGGGTGTATCGTTTGGTACCTAAAGAATTTTTTGATGTAAGTTGAACTTTTCTAATAAAAATTTATAAAAATGTTCTTTTTCATAAAATTGTTGATACCCAAAGGTAGAATAAATAGTATAAAGTACATTGATTTTTCAAATGTTATCTTTATGTATTCATTTATAGGCTCTCAACCCAGAAAGTGAACCTGAAATCAGAAGAGCTCCACTAGAAAATCTTGTACTTAAATCAAAAATCATAGATTTGGGTCCTCCCAAAGCAATTTTAGCTCTAGCAATTGATCCACCAGATTTGAGTAATATCACCAACACTGTTTTACTTCTCAAAGAAGTAGGGGGTTTATTAAACAAACCATATTATAGTAATAAGCTAGATCTAGTTAGTAAACATCATTCTTATGATCCATTTGACGGCATACTTACCGATCTAGGTCGTATTATGGAAGCACTTCCACTGGATATTCATTTAGCAAAACTTATTGCTCTTGGTCATGTATTTAATGTATTGCGTGAAACTATAATAATGGCTGCTAGTATGGCTGTAAGAAGTATTTTCAGTTATCCTTTCCAAAAAAGAATGCAAGCTTATGAACATAAAATCGATTGGGCTGATGGATCTACTAGTGACTGTCTAGCATTTCTCAATGCTTACAGAGTTTGGCAAAGGCATATAATTGCTAACCATTTTAAACGTAAGAGCCAGGCAGAAAGAATGTGGGCAGCTCGAAATTTCATCCAAATTAAAGCAATGCATGAATGTGATTATCTTATTGAAGATATTACGCTCCGTTTACAAAAACTGGGTATTAAAGAAACTGAAGGTAGTGAAAAAGTTGTTATTGATGACATCAGAGGGTTCATATTAAAAATTGTTATTGCTGGAGCTTTTTACCCAAACTATTTTGTAAAAATAACTTCTGATGCCGAACACCAAAATAAAGAAGCTACCAGAACATTGGGTGGACTAGATCCTTCAAGAACAGTATATCTTAGAGGCTGGCCATTAGATCAACCAGGAAGGTTGTATGCAAAGGAAATTCAAAAACTTTTTGCACATGCTTTTGAAGAAAGAGAAGAACCAGTATGGAAAAATGCACTTGTAGAATTTGATTCTTCCCAAAGAATTTACGTCATGTTTCCTGATGATAATCAGACTAAAGAAAAGAAGCACTTTGAAATTCCTGGAAAAGTGTCATCTTATGTGTACAAAGCACTAAAATTGAGAAAATTGTTTGACAGAATGAGCGTAAAAGTTCCTGATTCTAAGACTAGCAAATTGGTAAGAAACAATATTGTAAATACATGAAAAGTTTTCAATAGTTTTAATAGATAATAGTTTCAATGACATTTTATTAATTATTACAGATAGCAGAAAAACAATATATTCCATTTAAAGATAGTTTTACATTTTACACCAAAGAAAATTACGATAATTTCGTTAAAATTCTACCAAAATTCCTTCCAAAATTGCCATCGTTGAATACAAAAACGATTCAAATACGAGTTATAAAGGATGAAACTAATTTTAAACCTAGTCAATTTTGGGCTCAGTATGATAATAAGGAGGCAAAAAAAGATGCTCAAAAAATTGAGGAATATCTTAATAGTTCAAAAGTATCACTTGAAAAGTTTGATGTACTTCCAGATGTTGGTTCACTTGTTGCAGCTAAGAAAAACGATATGTATTATCGTGCTGTGATTGAATATTATTATAAAATAAATAATAATGATGCAGCTAGAGTATTTTTTATTGACAAAGGATTTGCATGTCCAGTTGCTGCAACTGAATTGCGTGCAATTAAAAACCAAAATATCAGTAATTTACCTGCCTTAGCTTTTGAATGCAGATTGAGTGGTATTGAACCATCGGCAAAAAAAGATGTAAATGGAGATTGGTGTTCAGAAGCTCAGAATTTGTTTGATCTATACATGAGTGATAAATTCATTATTTTTGGGACTGTTTATTCTGTAGTTGATAGTGTGGTATCTTTAGATATTGAATGTGTTGATGGCAAAGAGAAAATTAAACTTAATAAATTACTTGTGGGGAATGAATATGCTCAAGAACGTGAAGAAAGTTACTTGTCTAAATATAATCATGATTTGCGTGAATCATACCAAGACTTCAAACCAGAACAAACAAAGTATTTAGAATTTCATCAATATGATAAAAAATATTTAATTAATGTTTACCCAAATCCACCGGATGAAGATATTTGTAGTCATGATATCATGCTTATGGGACCTTATTCGCCGTTAGAAATACATCTTGCAAGTCTTTCAGCAAGTGCTACTAACAAAACTGTTTCTATTGAAACTATATCAGTGAATTCCATTTTGCTTGATTCAGATTTAGAAAGCCCTTACGAAAGACTGGTGGTTTCAAGTGTTATAAATCAATCAAGAGATGGTTCCAAGCTTACATTAAGAGACACAACCCTTATGCCACTTGTACCAGGTCTAACAGCTTTAATTTGTTTGATTTTTGCTCCAAAAATTGAATTAAGAAGAAATACCAAAGGCAGTCATTATGTCGGAGCTCTATGTGGCTTAGGAGCAGACCCAAAAAGAGGTATAGCTCTAATGCCCGAACACGATATAGAAGTACTTTTCAACACGGAATTTACTATTGATGATTTGCAAAACGTAATTTATATTTATTTTTAATTATAAACTTTTTTAATATTTGTTAGTAGCTTATTTCAAATGTATAATTTTAGATTAACCGACTACGTCATTGGATGAACATGGGCATATGCGTGGCTCAGAATGAAGATGAAGACTTGGAAGAGCAAGCAATGATGTGTCAACATAAAGTAATTCAGTTTATAAGGACATTAACTGAACGGAATAAAACTTATCAGAAATCCGAAAAAATTGCAAACTTTGATAAATGGAATTTATATGATAAAACTCTTTTTATGCGTCCAACTAACAAAGTCATGAAAGAGGACAGTGTTTACCCATTACATTCAGCTTTAATGCTTGATGAAAGAGATGAAGATATTGATAATTTAGTGGACCACATTGAAGAACTGAGATATATGGCTGTTTGGTAAGTTTACTCAATTCTCTTGATTCATTTACTTGTTAAAAAATGAACTAGTTCTGAAAAAATACCTGGTTATTTTAGTGATCCAAGACAATCGAATAAAATTGATGTTGTTTGTCAACTATGTGACATGCAATTTTTCTACAGACATGATCTTAGAAATCATTTAGTAAGTGCAGATCATATGCGAGCAGAAAAGCAATTGCCAATGCGTTGATGAACAAGGATTAAATAAGAAATCTTCACTTTATTTTTTGACGAAGATTTTACAGTAGATTTAGATATTGGCCTTTGTAATAATTTAATTTTATTTTAAAAATGACGTTTTTTTTTTATCCAAGTCATTGAATATTTTAAGTTTTTATCATCAAATTACCAGTTTGACTTTTTATCGAGATATGACTAAAATAGTAAAATAAATGTAGCTCTTCCATTACTTTTTGATATAAAAATTCTTTATTATTCAAGTAATTTTTTATAACCTTCTTTAATAAAAAATGTCCCAGAAAAAAATATACTATTAACAAGATTTCGATTTTAATATTAGAATTACATGTTAAGTTTATTTAAACATCTAAAACAGCGACAGTCTTGAACGATTAAAATGATATCTTACAATTATCTAAATATACCTTCTTACTTTAGTCGCGCTGAAGATATCGCTGACTAGGTTGGGTATAAAGTAATCTTCCCGGTACATTAGGTGCACCTGTCACACTGACATAAGCACCGGGTGGAGGCGGATAAGGGCTTTGAGGTGGCTGTGGTGTTCTTACGGGATAACCACTCGTTATAGATCCCTTCTGCCCCTATAAATTTAATAGCAATATATTTATTTTTTTTACAATTTGAGCATAATATTAATTATCAACTAACCTGAGGCGCATGAGGCATAGGCATACTGTTGCCATGAACTGGTACAGGTCCACTTGCTCGAGGATAAAATTTTGGTTCCTCTGGATAAGGAGCTGTTTTAATAATGTTCTTATTAATCAATTTGTTGTTGCAAAAAAGGAGAAAAGAAATATTTTAAATGTAAAAGTTGTACTTACATGATGTTAATGTAGGCATTGGAGGTCTTGCTGCTGTCAAGTATACTGATTTTCCAGGCTCTGCAACACGGGTCAATGTTTGGGATGTTGGGGGTGGACCAAAGTCATACTGAGGTGTTGCTGAATAATAACTTGAACCAGGAAACTGGTTGGGCGTTTCTATTTGAAAAAACGATTATAATTAGTATAAAAAATAATTGAAGTATAATCAAAAATAATAATGAAATACGTACTATTCCACAAAACGACGCGAGAATCGCCGCTTCGTCTGGCATCTTCAGCTTCTGTATTAATATGAAGAATGAAGAATATAATATGATAGTTTAAGACTGGATTATTGAAGTACTTGTAAACATTACTCACTAGGAGGTCCTGGGATTGAATAAGGTATTGGAGGTGGTTTATAACCGTAACCTGGGTGATAAGAAGAGACAGTAGGTTGTGGCGGGGGAGACGGGCTATGCGTCCTTTTCAAATTTCCCTGTAAAATGAATGCCACAAAAATTTATTTTAATTCATGTTCAGTTGTGGAATACAAGTAATTAAAAATGTGCATTCTTTCCACTTACATTACTTATCATTTGATGTGATGGCGTAGTTTGCTTGACTTGATAAAGAGGAGCTCCTCTTGGCAGAGGAAGATACAGATGTGGATTTACAATTGTATTATGATCTAAATAAGTGACTTGTTGATGAGGCTCTTGCATCACACTACAAATAAATTCATTACAATTGATGTTTCTTACAATTAGGTTCAATCAATAAATGAATAAGCTCTATTGTACCTAGTTTCTTTTATTAGCCTCCTTCGACTATCATCCTCATGGAGAACTTTTTTCAATTGTACAAATAACTCATGCTTTTCGTGTTTTAAATTGGTCAATTCGCTTTCTAATGTTGCTATCTGTTCTTTTGTTTCTTCAATAGTCATAACAGTATTTTTCTGTTGTGTTTCTCTTTCTTTTCTTTGCCTTTCTTCTTCTTCATCTTGTTCTTTTTCTGGAAAATCAATCACAAAAAATTATCATTATTCAACCATTACAAAAAAAAAAATTGTAAAAAAAGTAATGCAGTGTACTGACCTTGCTTTTTCTGCTGCCTTTCCCTCATTATGTGTCTCTTTAAAGACTTCCATATCGGCTCCTCGGGCTGTGGCGAGCCTGCAACGATTGCTGGCATATTTTCAAATACACCAATTCGACAATCGTCTAATAATATAAAAAAATAAATACTATTCCGGCCTTCTCATACGACTAGCCACTAACCTAAACACACACTAACTTTATAAGTAAACACAGAGATTCAGACTTGAAATGAAACTTTAAAAATTCTTCTAAAAAATAGCACTACAGAACACTGGCTTCATACAGTTTACAAAGGTTTTTACTGTAAAAATTAATCTGTACTTCATCTGGTACCGTTACAGGTATCTTAGGTGCAATGAATTCAACTTCAATAATATATTTTTGCCATCGCAAACTGCAGGTTTCGGCCTATCACAATTCATATCACTAACCACAACAGTAGAGTGTAAACTGACATTTTCGGAGCGATATTGGCGCTTCGGAGTCTCGAGCGGAAAAAAGATGAGTTAGCCGCAACGATTAAAATCCTTTCCTTTTTTTATCTTTACGGGGAAATTTTAATAAAAATGCTGCAGGGATTTTTATTTGATACATTCTATGTTTAGATCGAATTAATTTGTTAAATTAGTATCGAATATTTTCTTAAACATTCCATTTGGAATTTTAAACAGCCGCATTTTATTTTTTACTTATCTATTCTTATAATAATTTGCATTGTCAGTGAATATTTTTATTGTACAATAATTGTTGATTTATTCAGTTGTTGATGTATTCCGCAAATCTAATACCTGCGAATCTGATTATCAGTGCAGACGTCAAATATTTCATATATATTAACAATATTGCAACGTTGTAGTAGATCTTTGAACCTTCAAACAAATTTTCATCATAAAATTGTTCATATGACCCATAACTAATTAGAATCATTGTATAATCTTTTATAATTTCAAAGATCTTACGTATGAAAATTCATAACTCTTTAATTGATTTTTTTCGAATAATCGTAAAAGTTTTTGCAATCAACATTTGGCAAAACATGGCAACAATGCGAAGTTGAGATCGCTGCAGAGTGCAAACTACAAATAAAAAAAAACATCGCGAAGTGCGGACGCTCCGGCTCGCCCCCGCATTCGTCAATTAGTCAAGCATCGCGTGATAGCACAGATTCCAGTTATTAACGTAAGTATGTAATATTGAACTGTAACATGATTATTCATTTGACTCCAATATTTATTCTGGAATAAATGTATGGTATTGATTCAGCTATTCCATTGTAATTACGCAATATTCATCGCGTGCAATTTTAATGCATTTAAGGTTATAACCGAAATTTATAAAAGAAAACATTTTTTTTTGTTTACATTTTCGATTTCTTCCTTATTCCTAAAATTTCCAATTACTATTTGAATTATTTAAACAGTAACTTGAAGGTTTGAACCATTGAATGATTTTTAAATAATCTTTGTACCTTCGTTTATTATTTTAAGATGCATTTAAAAACATGACAGTTAGTTATCCAAAAAATTTTTATTGTTATTTTTGATTTTAATTTATTACTCCTGCTATGTATGCTTATGTTCTGCTTTTAGACCCGCAACGCTATGCATAGACGAATGTACGTAACAGTAGATATTTAAATTTACAATTGTCACTTTCAAAACTGCTTGCTCTTGTTGTTTCTAGTTTTGACAACCTGAAAGTCATCATGAAAAAAATAGTCATTTTTGGCGCTACCGGTAATACCGGCTTGTGTTCACTGGAGTATGCTGTCAAAGAAGGTGAATTTTGTTTAATTATTTTCAATATTTTTTTTTCATTTTTTCTAAATGTTTATCTTATCAATATTATGAACAATTTATCAATGATGAGAATTTTCAATGCGCATTGTCGTCTTGATTTAAATACCTAAACTGTTACATAAATCGTGCGTCAATCCAAAGTCATGTATAAAAAATTTAATACTAGGCGCTATCTTGCAGGCTACAAGACTCGAGCTTTCGTGAGAGACGAAAAGAAAGTACCTGAAAACCTTCGCGACAAAGTCGATACCATCGTTGGAGATGTGACAAATGCCGAACAAGTCTCGCAGGCTATCGCCGGAATGGATGGAGTAGTCGTTGTACTTGGCACTCGCAACGATCTTGGTATTTATAGCGATTAATTATAAAATGTCAAAACAAACAAGGTGCGATCTGTGCTTTACAAATTATCATTAATTTTAAAGGTCCGACCACGGTAATGTCCGACGGTATGAAAAATATCATCGATGGAATGAAAAAGCACAACGTTGAAACTGTTTCTGTTTGTTTGTCAGGTAAACTTAAAGTTACTAAGAAAAATGTTCATATTCAACAGATATAAATTAATGTATGCTTTTTTTCAGCATTTTTGTTCTATGAACCAGGAAAAGTTCCAGTAATATTTAAAAATGTTAACGAGGATCATCAAAGGATGTTTGATCTTGTTAAAGCTTGTGGCCTAAAATGGATTGCAGTATTACCACCTCATATAGCAGGTACAATTTATATTGATTAACAAGAAAATGTCATTTGAACTTATTTGTAATTTCAATTTTGATTAATTTCAGATGCTCCAAGCTCTGAGTATAAGACTCAGTATGACTCTTCTCCAGGTCGTGCAATATCTAAACATGATTTAGGTGCATTTTTAGTAAAAAGTTTAGATCAATCTGAACATTATCAAAAAGTTTTGGGAATCGCAACGGTCACACAGTGATAAATTAGACATTTACTGAAGAACATTTTTGTAGCCTTTATGTGTGCCATACATAATTTGTTACAGTTTTGAAACCACACAGCTTTTAAAGGTATTATTTAAGGTGTATATAATATATGAGATATTTATACAATATATTTGACAAAAAAAATTGATTTTTCATATTAAAATTTTAATAATTTTTTACATATTTCGGTGTTAAGTATTTTACTCTTTTTACTTAGGTTATTTATACAAAAATAAATTTGTTATTTACATGACTTGATGGCTTAGGTTTTTATAACTTTCATCTTGGTTTTTTAGAAGATGTTAAAACTTTTTTCATAAATGTGCGAGATGGAGTTGTTAAACAAACTGGTGCTGGCATTAGTATAAGATCATTTGGCATTGGTGGGGGTGGAGGACCTGTTAATATAATATCTCCTTTATCTTTGTCTTCTTTATCATTGAGAAGTTCAATACTAAAATCCCTGTAATCATTCAATTGTCCAATGGGTGCGCAAGGTTCATAGCCATTTTTGGCATAGAATCCTTCCTGACCTTTGGTTAATAGATATACACTTGTAATGCCAAATCTTTTGACATAGCGTTCTAACTCTTTTAAGAGCAAAGATCCAAGACCTTGACTTCTGAATGAACTATCTATTAGAACTAAAAAATGATTCACTTGAATTATAGTTTATTCAAAATAAAACTTAAATTTTGATTTGAATTCTTACATGATTCCAATAACACACTGTCTGTTGTACCATATACCATGGACAATTTGCAATGACCTAAAACTTCATTCTGTCTCAACAGCACCAGACAAGTTGGGAAATATTTGTCTCTGCATGATGTTTCCAGACTCCTTACCCTAAAAAATATTTTTGTTCAGAATATGAGGTTCATGATAATATTTCAAGAAGAATAATGTAAAACAAAGGTGTTACAAAAACTCATTGAATATTAGCTTCTAACATACCGTGCAGTTTCACTTCGTTTCCATTCAGAGTTTAGTAGGTTGCAACATTGTGGAATTAAATCAGGACGCTCGTGTAGTGGAACTACATTATACCAAGGATCTCTCATAATCTTCCTGAAAAGCAGGTGGATTAAAACAAAACAATTAGTGTCAGTTAGATATAAATTGAAGAATTTATCATATTTATTATATTTTAATTGGACAACAAATGTTTATGAGGAATTAATTAAGTGAATACACAAGAAAATACTCTTGGGACTTTAAGGACTCACTTAACATAGGAGGTAAAATTATCTTTGCATCTTGGACCCCATAGAGGAAAATAAAATTTATCACAAACTAGTAGTTATTTTATCACAGGCACTGGCAGTAAATGTAAAAAGTATCATTGAATTTTCTCACTTGGTACAAGAAAATATTTTAAACAAAAACGAGTCATAATTTAAAGCGAGTCACGATTGCCCCCTCTGCGAAACGTTTTAACGTATCACCGACAACCTGTATGTATATGCGGTGTTTCAGAGTGCATCGGAGCAAAGCAGCCCACCCGCAAGTATTCGAGATCTATTTTTAGTGGACAACCATCAAATATATAGCCGTGTCAAACGTCAACATCACAAGTAGCAGACGACGCAGCTCAGCGGCTCTCTTGAATTGCCACTCATCCATGAAAGGACACACGCATCAGCTCTCGTAAACGATGAATTCGCGCGACGAAAAATCTTTCGAGATTGAAAAAATGCAAGCGAGACGTGCGTCGTTAGAAGCGCTCGATTTACAACTAAGTAAGCCAACACATTATTTGCATATGTAGAGACAGATATCTGCTGTGTAAGAGAGCGAGAACGAGAGACTCGTAGCTAGCGCAATAATATCAAAAGCCAAAAAGCTGAATCTTTTTATAGCCGAGCATCCAGTCATAAATCTGTCATTCTATTAATATTTTTTTTGTGCACACGCCGAGCACTGCCAGAGATATCGTATACCAGTCTGTTATTATGTAAATTATTATACATGTACACACGCGGTTCATGCATCTCGTATATTTTTCGAAAATCTATAAGTATACGTCTAAGCGTCTCTGCATCGAAGATGCGTAAAAATCGATCGATTTGAATTAATTTGAAGAAAAGAACTGCAAGATTCCTATATTATGGAAATTCAACACTCACTTGTTGGGAGAGCAGCCTCGAGCGCCCACACCGAATAATTATAATCTAATCATGAAACTCTCCGCTGGAGCGTCGAGAGAACGAACTGATTTTCTACAGAAGCTATAAAATTACAAAAGCCAATCTGGAGCTTCGAGCTGAGATTCTCGCTCCCTACCGAGACTTATGTTGGAAAATAAGCCGCGAGACGTCTTATATGCGGATTCATGTAAACGTATAAAGTATATATAGCTCAGCTGAGTATCCCCATTTAATCATAAACCTTGGCTGCTTTTCGCGGGTGCGTTCGTTTGCCTAAGACGCTTAAACGCCCACGCGTAACTTGCGACTTTTTACATATTTGTGCAAAAATTTAAGTGCTTCGAAGAAAAGATTGATTTTACACTCGTACACACTGACAAATAAACGAAATTTTAATGACTATAGAACGCCTAATCAAATTTCACTGTTCGTGGAAAAATAAATACTTTCTCATTTCGAAAGAACAAATTCATAATGCAATTTTGAAATTCCCGCTGTAGCGTCGAATCTGTCAACAGTCATTCGGGCAGGCGTGCATTTTTACTGTCATGTTGTCGTGACGTCCGTAACTCACTCACCGCAAAACTTATGTACATCTCTCTATCCAATGCGAGTAGAGACTCGCAGTGAGCCGCTGTTTGAGTCATTGATTCGTATGAACATCAAAAATCGCCTTTTTTAGATAGTTTTTTTTCAGAAAAAGAATATGATTCCCGGAAGATCAATGCCAGCACCAGGTTTGATATTATTAGTATTTTCATGAGTATAATGGACGTATATAACCTAGAATTATCTAACAATACAATATTTACAGAAAATCCTCTGGGACTTTCTTGGCATGACAGTGCATGGATTCCTATGCTCAATCCAGGCAACATTATGGATTACTTTTCTGAGAGGACTAATCCTTTCTATGATAGAACTTGCAATAATGAAACCATTAAAATGCAACGTTTAACAACTGAACATCTACAGTGAGTAAATTGTTAATATTATAAGTTTTCCATATTATTAGCTGTCATATTGATTAGCATAACTCATTTTATTACAGAAATTTGACGGGTATTGAATATACGTTGCTACATGTTCAAGAGCCCATTTTATATGTTATTCGTAAACAACACAGACATAGCCCTACACAAGTGACACCCATCAATGATTATTATATTATAGCAGGAGTTGTGTATCAAGCCCCTGATTTGGGTTCTGTTATAAATTCTAGATTGGTAAATATTAATTCTAATTTTAATATTTCTAACTTTCTTCAAAAAATTTAATTAATTCTATTGAATGCAGCTAACCACAGTAAATCACTTACAATCAGCTTTTGAAGAAGCTAGTTCATTTTCACGATACAATCCAAATAAAGGATATTTTTGGGATTTCGGTAATAAAGGATCTACAACGAAAAATGATTCTGTTGTCAAGGAAGAACCTAGTACACTATTTCAACGTCAACGAGTGGACATGTTGTTAGGAGATTTAACTAGAAAATTTCCTCCACCTGCCCCCAAACAAATACCAGTTGCTGCACAACCTACTCCGACAGCTACTGCTGTTCCCGCTGCTACTGAACCTAGTAAGGACTAATTTAATAAACTAAAATTGAAATGATTGAGAAAACTTATTTAATAAAATATTTTTTTCCAACAGATGCTCAAATTAAGACTGAACCTCAAACTGATAAAAAAGACATGAAACCACCACCAGAGAAAAAGATGAAATTAAAATAAGTTAGTATAATAAGTGTATGAAAATAAGGTTGTAAATATTGAGAAAGTTGTATATTTTTTGAATTGAGAAATACTAAAATGAAAATTTTTTGTGATTTACCATGAAATTTACTTTTTCTGTTGTTTACACCATTCGCAATCCGGAAAATCACAATCAGGCACGAATCGTTTGGTCGGTTTCTTTTTGCAAAATAAAAATCTTTGGTAGGTTTTCCAGATTTTCTCGCATGGCGGTCGCTTCGTAGGACATGATTTGGCGGATAGCGTCGGTTTTGTTGGACAGCTTTTGTGCAGTGTTCCACGAAGCCCAACACTTTGAGAAAATTGCCTAAATAACGTTAAAAATTTCATATTTCTTAACTTAAAATTTTGAACTTTGAATTTTGAAAGTGGAGATTTTAGTTTTGTGATGTTGAGGTGTTGACTGTTTATAACCTGACTATTTTCATTGTGTTAGTATCTATATTCATTTTTTTATTCGGCACAATTCGCGTTGTCGCTCAGCTGCTGTCAGTGACTGCATGTATATTTTGATTCATTTGACCAAAGAGTTTGAAACTCAAGTCGAGAGTAATCATGACCAAGAACCAAGTGGTCGGAGAGTATTATGTCACCTGGAGAATGTTTGTGTAACGAAAAATCGTCAGAAATCGGCAATCGGCTCAGCGTGATCTGTCCTAAGGACAGCGAGGATTTCATCCGAGAGGTCAGACATTACAAGTGCAAAGTAGTCAAATTAGCGAACGAGCAGATAACCAAACTGCGAAAAAGCAAAGTAAGCTTTGAAATCATGGCGCAACAATTTTGACAATCGGCTCCCGTGGAACCAAAAATACTTTTCTTTTATCTCATTAGAACGATGACTCGTGTGCAGATACTACTGCGAGCGACTGCGGTGGTAGCCCTGGCAAACGCTGCTCTTGTTGCCTGAAACCGTGCGAGGACGATTCGGGGATAGCCGACGATTGCACCTGCTCGTTGTCGTTCGAGCAGATCTGCGGCGATGACAATTTACTGCTTCAACTTTATACAAAAGCCTTGAGACATCCTGCGATCGTCTCGGCTCTTTTTATCCTATTTTTAACTCTTGTATACATTTACTGGCAAATTTGCCACGTGCTGGCTCGGTGCAGCAGTGGTTGCTCATTTTGCTTACCCATTGCCTTGACTCGGCCGTCCCGCGTCAAAGTCTTTTGATGAATATTTTATGATTTGGCTCTTTTTGTCAATAAAAGCAGAAGGTAATTTTTGTATTAAAGCTGTCTTCACATTTATTCACAATTTCTTACGCTTTTTTTGTATTATACAGATTTGTTTGGTTGATTTTTTATTCATTTTCTTTACAAAAAATCGATATCTTCGTCGTTTTCGTATTTTCTTTAAAAAAATTTTACAGTTGTTTTCCTGCATTATCATTTATCAATAGCGAATAAATTACACACACCCATGTTGTTATTTTTTAACTTTATATACTTAATAGCGTCACTGATATCGTGTCGATACTTCGGCGCTCAATTAAGCAGTAAGAAATATTCTACGTACGCGCAACATCATTCATCATTCATTGACGGGCATTTTCATGTATAATACATAGATTTACTTTTTTCTCCCTTAATTAAATTTCTATTTATAATTTATACGTAAGAGCTATTGGAGCAAATATTCGTCTAATGGAAACCGAGAACAAGAACCATCAGTTTGTCGGTCGAATAACTCAAATTATGCGTGTATGTATAGGAACTTTTTTATGAAAAAAAAAACGTCATTTATCATTCTCACAAGCACGCGAAATTCAGTCATATCCACACAATTACAAGAAGAATAATCATGGCAGTTGTAGTTTTTAGAAGCATGAATATGTGTTACATAATACGTCGATAATGGCAAAAGTATTATAAATAAACTCTCACCTCTCACCTTCGCATTCTCTCGGCCTCTCTCATCCTCACTCGTAAAACGCGAGAAAAGCATGATAATCGATAACTAACATCCCTGTAAATTTCTCAGCGCGTATTTTATTTTTATTCCTCTTTGCCACATAACTATATATACGTTTGCGCGTATGTAAAAACGAATCGCTCGGATTATCGCGTAACAAATGTGGTCCGAATGTGTGATATATTACGTGCTTATACGGTGATTATTTTACAATTTATTTTTTTTGAAAAGCAGTCTTGTTCTTTAGATGATATACATGTATTATATATTTATATTTATCATGCGCATTTTTTGTTTGCGAACACTTTCAAAAGTACTCGGTTTCATAAATCGATGTACATCATATAATGATATAATTAATCTAAATTGAGTTTTTGCATGAATTATGTGTGTGTGCTTTCTACGAAACGATCTTTCATTTAAGTTCATTATATCCCGTTAATAACTAACTACTTATGCCTTATATCACTTTACAACCCGCCTGATTAATCATTCAATCGCAGCTCCAGACACGTATAATGGAGAGAACTTTCTAGTTGAGTTTTTATTTATTTCCATGCTTATTTTTTAGCCTACGTTAGGATAATGAAATTTTTGCACGCGCTTATAAATCATTAATTTACACAATATAGAGTTCACGAGCTCACACATTGTTTACACATACAGACTCACTCATTCTCTCTCTACTTTACACGCACTATCTCACCGAGGCTACTACAATATTTGTTTGCGGCGTTCTACATCATTGAATCCAATGTGTGTGTGTATGATGTGTTGAGTATTTGTTCGATATGTGCGAAGGCTAAAAACTCGAATTAAATTCTTCCAATACTACACCATTGATTTTTAATATAGAGCAACGATATATATTATATTTCAGAAAATCAATGTGTGCTCAGTTGTGCGGGTCAAGATTTCATAAATAAAAAAAAAGGAGGCAGCCCGTCAATGAGTATGTGCACTTAACACTTCATCGAAAACGATGAGATGACAAAAAAAGAGGTTGAGCTCTTTTACACTCTTGGACACGCGTTTATGCACGGACACGCACGTAGACTTTGTGTTTGGACAGTATAACGTATATAATTTATGCATTTATATATACCTCGGGACTTTGAGAAACGAAAATTGTGTTACCGCCTCGCACTTATCTCGGACACAAAATAAATTTTCATCGTTATGTATATTGCACTCGGGTTTTCCGTAATTATTCATATTATTTATAACGTAACATTGTCCCCGTCGTTTCTCTAACTCTTGCATAATAATTTATTTTAAATATTTTCTATGCTTTATATGTATATCGTATAATGGTTCTTTTTCGTTCGTTCCGACTCGCTGCAAAAACCACTCGACGCGACATTATATATAATATAGAAACGATTTTATTTCGCGATGATTATGTGTGTGTGTGCGTTTTCATGCCATGATATCGATTTTCATTGATATGTTTTGTTGCGTTGCGTTGGGGAGTCCATGAATACAGGAAAAAGATATTTGCTGCCGGATGATCTATACGGATGCGTAGGCCATTTTTATGTACAACGATGCGATAAAATGGAGAAGAAAAGGGGGTCGAATGTACGCGCGTCATGGTCGAACAGCTACCGTGTGCAGCTAGCAACTGCGATCTCGTAGTTTCCTTTTTTTTGTAATATACATTTTTTTTTTATTATAAATCGTTGTGGTACGATGAGATTGCGTGCGGCGACCGCTGCTGCTGCGGATGCGTGCGCGACTTACACGCAGCTCTCGGGCCCCGGTATGGAATTGGCTATGATGATCTCCTTCATGAGATTGCGATCAGCTTTGAAGCTGATCGGTTCCCACAGCTTCGCCGAGAACGGATTCAACTGAAACACGCACGTATGCAATTTTCGGTGTTGTAAATAGAAAAAAATGAACGATAACGTTATCTCGAAAGTATACTCACGCTGCATCGATTGTTCTGCAAGCTCTGCTTGTGCAGGTCGTAGGGGGCGAACAGGGTGTCCGGCCTGACGGGCAGGAAGAGCTGCGGCTCCTTCTTCATCTTCTCCTGGTCGACCTGCGGCGACTGTATGATGTCCGGCTGATTGTTGATCTGGTAGTCGGCCACCTGCTTGAGGGTGTACTCGACGAAGTACGTGTGGTCGCCGTGCGCCACGTCCAGCATGGAGTTGTTGCGCGAGTCCGGCGGCGTGATGATGGGCTGCTTCATGTACGGCTCGATGTGGACCGGGGAGGTGCTGCCGCGGCGCCGGTACATCATCAGCACGACCGAGACCACCGTGACGGCCAGGGCCAGGATGCAGCCGACCAGCAGCAGGATCAGCGGGATCATGTTCACCGGACTCTCTGTTCGAGCGCGCGTTAATTCCGACGAGATTATAATTCACGCTACAACTTTTGCGCGCATAAACTGTACATAGTTGCGGCAAAGAGCCGCGCACTTACCGGCGTGTTTGTCGGGATCGCCCAGTACGACGTCCTCGAGTCTGACAACTTCGCTCCTGCCTTTGGCGTTGGCGGCGTAGGCGGCCAAGTAAAAGTGCGTCGAGGGCAGCAGCTCGATGAGTGGCAGCCGAAACACGGGACTGTCCGCGAGCGAGCTCGACATGTTCAGCTTAAGTTTGCCCGTCGATACTTCGTACACCTCGAGGCGAAATTCTTGCCTGTGTATACACGAGCCATAGATGGATTAGATTCGACGACGAGAAAATAAAATGTTCCTAACACCTATCGCATGTATAAGGGGTAAGCTATTATATTGTATTCTCTGCGAAATCGAATTGCCTGAATAATTTTTTTGCGGTGGCATGAAAAACTTGCGGTTTTTTATGTCATCCACCGCTGGTAGAAATGTTAAACATGTGTAATGGCTCTATGACTAAAAAATGACTATTTAGAATGTTTTAAAAGGTATGCCCATTAATTGGCTCGATTTTGGCACTTTTTGTGCTACAATCATTTTACGGATATTGAGCGCATTTTAAATCACCTGAAAATAACAAATTAACTGTTGAAAAAAATTTTGAACAATTTTTTCAACCACTTTATCTTCAATTACTTTCAAGTTCCACCACTAGATGGCGAGTACTTTTTTTTGTAAATCTGCAAGTGTCAAAGTAAAAAACTTGTATATGTCGAAATATTTCGAAACTGTAATTGCTATTAAAGTCTGCTGGATCAGTTGAAAGTGACTCGAGGAAAAAAATATTTTGGACCTTTTTTTATTTGAAATTGAACAAAATTTCATCAGAAATAAAATACTCCAACAGGGTCTGAGCCCTGCGGAAGCTGATTACTATAAAGAAAAACATAAAAGCCAAAATTTAATCAAGTTCGATCCGATGCAATGTCAACCAATACCTCAATTTACGTAATGGGCCTTCAAGTTGACGATCACGAAAAATGCGAGAGTACCAAAAAATGTGAAACCTAGCTCTCTCGGTTTCCTTTCATCTTCGGCCATTACATATTATAGAAGGGCAACGAGATAGAGGCGTTCTACTCACCTAAGTCCGCCGTCGTATCCGGCGATGCACTCGACGTCGAGTATCTCCAAGCTCCTATTGTTCAATCCAGTCTTGATGGTGCAATTGCTGAGCGGGCTCGGCTTGACCGCCGGTATGATCTGATAGACGCAGGGGGCGGCCTGCTTGCCGATGGGATTGCGGCCCCAGCAGGTGAGCGCGCCGTAATCGCGCTCCGTCATCGGCGTGTAGAGGAGCTCGCTGGTGGTGCCGTTGTTGCCGTCGAAGCGGGCCGGCGCCACCTCGAAGTTCTCCCCGGAATTGTTGAACTCCCAGACGAAGTCGACCTCGGCCGGGTCGGCCTCGACCTCGCAGCGCACGCGCACCGACTCCTCCAGCGAAGCGCCGATTATCGTCACCTCTTTGCTCTTGCAGATTGGCGCGACTGCTCACACACACACACACACACACACACACACACACACACACACACACACGTCAACAATTATTTACTTTTATTTTGTTGTAACGTTGTCGGTTATTGCGTAAAATTAGCGCTGTAGCGTGTCTAGACTCTCTCTCGAGAGAGACAGAGCGAGCGACGGACTCGAATGAATTCGTCATTTGGATATTTATTTTTGCTCGCTGCATGCCTCGGCGGTACAAGCTGCTCAGCCGTGTACACCGGAGTAAAAATAATAATTGAATATACTCACATTGTACTCGGAGCGCGACGGTCGGACTGCTCGTTTCGCCCCGATCGTTGCTGGCGAGACACGTGTAATTCCCAGCGTTCTCTCGCTCGATTCGCTGCAGCACGAGGCTCTGCGTGCTCATTATTATGCCGGCCGAGTAATTTTGCATCAGTGCGCCATTCTGTGGACGTGCATGTGTGTTGAGTTTTTTATTTAATTTTCATTTTGCGAACAAAAATATATCGTCGTTTTGTAATTTGTTTAATTACGTTCTATACGGCGGGGAGCTGATGAATGAAAAATAAGCCAGCCGGGCGGCGCGATGCGCGCGGCTTCGGGGATTATTGATTTTTCATTACACGCAATTCGGTGGCGAATGATTTAAATTATTAAAGGGAAATTTAATCATCGGAATTGAAAATGAAATTAATGCATTATTTTTTCCTTTGATTACACAATAAACTTAATAGCTGCATTAATTATCGTGCCCCAATGAGGTCTGTCGATATTTTCCGGTATCGAGGAGGCGAGAAAAAACATATTCTTCGAAACGACGGCGATCGAGCGCAAGAAAGGAGCGAGAAATAGAAGAAAAATAAGAGGAAGAAAAGAGCATTCGCGCAACACGCGAACAAGTAAAGAAGTAGAAAGAAGAAGAAGTGCAGTTGGCATTATAATAGAAAAGAGCAACGGTGGCTTCGGCGCCGTTCAGATGAGGCGGGGGTGGCTGGCTGGCTATATATATAGGGGGAGGAGGACAATTAAGACTCACATTGTGTCGCCAAGTGATCTTGTGATGCTCGGGGTTGGCGCGCACCTTACACTCGAAGTAGACGTCGTCGCCCTCCTTGATGTTCTCGGCTCGTAGCGTACTGCCAAGTTCTAATTGTACCTTCGGTGGAACTGCGAGAAAAACACACGTACAGACACACACATATATATAAAATAACACACGTGAGTTTGAAATTGTTGCCTCGTTTTTTTTTGTTGCCATTCACGCAGATAAAGAAGAAAAAAATCTCGCGCGCGCAAAAAAAAAGAGAAATTCCACATATATACGTAGCAGGCGATCGACTCTTTCTCTCTTTCTCTCTCTGGCGCGCGCTGTATATAAAAATGAAAATTGCTCGAGAGAGTCAGTCCATCATGTTGTACAAACTGTCTTGCGGAGATATAAACCGAAGCTCTCGCGAGCTATATAGAGTCACGTTCGAGGCTTAGAGATATATGAAAAGTTACGCGAGTGAGTGAGTGAGTGCAGCGCGCGCCAGAGAGAGAGAGAGAGAGAGAGAGAGAGAGAGAGAGAGAGAGAGAGAGAAAACTAAATGTTAGCTAAAGTTTTTCAAGAGCTTTTCGGACCGTACATATAGTGAATTATTTTTTTTTTCTGTTTTTTTGTTTCTTCTTCTTTATGTTATAGCGAATTGCATGCGCGCGTGGCCGAGGTACAAAAAAAAAAAAAAAAAAAAAAAAAAANCGCGCGTCACGATACAAAATAACAAAAAAAAAAAAAAAAAAAAAAGAAGAAGAAAAATGAAAAATCATGTATGCTCGTGTGTGTATTATATACTACTATACTCACAGACGACGTTCATGTGAAAAGAGTCTTCGAGATGAGGCGCTTGCAGCACGGGATTCTCGCCCCGGCACTTGAGTATTTTGCCGTGATCCTCTGGTAGGGGGGCGAAAGTCAAAGTGCTCAGCACCAGCATGCCTGGACCCTCGCTTCCGGATACCTGCATGATGCACATACACCCACACGCACGCACACAAACAGACAAGCAGACGGCGTTATATGTAGAATATATAGAGCACACATAGCTTGCGCCGCGTAGCATATATATATAGCGAGCTCCTTTTCTTCTCTACTCGAGCCAACACCTTTCAAAGATTCTATACGTCTATATTGTAAGTGCAGCGCGACGAGCTCGAGCTTTGTTGGTGTATAATCGAGGCGACGATTAGTCTCGATTGTCTTTCGAGGGTGTGCAGCGCGCGGGGCTGTATAAAGTGTAAGGAGGAGGTGTGACACGACGACGACGACGACGCTCCGCTGCAGCTCGCACACAGCGAGGGGCTTATGAATAACTGCGCGCCACGTCGGAGTCATTCACGAGGAAGTTCTTTTTTTCTTTTTGGCACACGGAGCGCATCGATTCACCTGATTTTTGACAAAGCGAGCCCGCGAGTGCATAACGGCGGTGCTTATCTATCGCTTCCATCTCTGCGGCTCGGCCGCGCGAGGAAGAGGAGCGAGAGAAAATAAAAACATAACGATGCTGCCGTCGCCGTTGGTTATTGAAAATTGCACGAATATACGCCACTCGGCAGGACATTTATATTTCAGTGCAGCACCTCTCTGATCGATCGCGTGGTCCGCGCGCACCCGTGTGTATACGAGAAGGACTCGTAATACGCGAAATAGCTAAGGTGTGAGCTGGATTAAATAATAAAGCCAACGGCAGCGGTTCTGGGTGACAATTTCTTACAATACCTAGAGGACGTAAGTATATTGTCGACTGTCCTAGATGTCTAAAAATAATATATTTACTATTCAAGAGGCATTTTGCGCTTCGATTCGGGGGTATATATATAAGATAAAAACGGACTCGATCCTTTATCGAGAGTACGTCGAGATATAGGCGAGCTGTCGGTTATTTTCCAAATTAATTGGACGTGTAATTAATAAAGCAGTGAAGGCATCTCGAGAGAGCTGACAATCGCTTCTCGAGCTTCGAATCTTCTCGCGTGTCGTAGCTCTCCTCGTCGTCGTCGTCGTCGTCGCCGCACTCGAAATCAATAAGACCAGCCCATAAATCTCTCGTCGTATATATCGTATAGCTGTATACGGGCTCTCTCGTGGCGCACGTATTATTTTTCTCCGCTGCGCGCGTAAACAATAAAGCCTCGTTAACCATCCCCCAGTGCGTCTCTCCCTCTCGAGTCGAGGCTTGGCCAGCCGAGATTATACGTATATAATAGAGTCATACGATATTCCTCAAACGTAGAGATACGAGATCATCGCATTTGCTGCTTTCTGCAGCTGTATGTATGTAAGCGATGCGTCGGAGGCGGCGGGGGCCGTGGACCACACCGCATCATATTCTAAAGGACTATATACGCGCGCGCGGCTACTGTTGCGCTCGACCCGTAAAGCCCTGCAATATACCGAGCTGTGTGCAGCAGCAGCATCGTCGTCGTCGTGCATGTATCTATATAGCTCAAAGCTCGTTGAGCATGCGTAACGTCAAAGTCTCTACTGCTGCGCGTACCTATACCAGTATATATATGCAGTACAACACAGAGAAGGAGCAGCGGCTCGTATACATTACACAAGATCGCAAGCCGAGGAATAATATACCAACAGCGAGCAACTTGCTCGCTGCTCTTGTTGTTGTTGATATAAGAAACTTACCCGGCCGTTATTGAAGGCTGTATGGCCCTCGAACCAGCTGATCTTGGCACTTGGATGGGATCCCTCGGCCTCGCACGATATCGAATAGTCCCGATCGGCTTCCATGACCGTCGGTTTCGTTAATATCTTCACCGAAACTGGTTTCACTGGTTGCATTTTGCGATGACGGCAGCATTTCACGAACGAGCGGAGAACAAATTTTAATTAATTTTTTTTATCAGACGAGCATTTTTTTACGCGTGCGCCAACGCGGATCATTCGATTTTCGCATTAGATACGAGCACCTCGAAACTACAATGGGAGTAATCCCTTTTTTGAAAGTTACATAATCGAGCGAAGCCTTTGTAAGAATGCACGCTAACAAAGTTCGTATGTAGCTTTGTTCCGAGCCGAGCTTTGTTACATTCATCATATTGTAAAAAGAGTAACGCCAATGAATTTCCAAAAAGAGGGAAAAATTAGCGAAATTTTTTTTCATTATCGCAAGCTCTATTTAAGAATAAAAAGAAATGTGAAAATTCAAAGTTTTTCTTTCTTAATAATATAGTCACGTAAAGTACTGCAAGCTCCACGAAGCTTGCTCGAAGAACAATCCTAAGGAAAGCGTGCAAAACTTTCGCGCGTTTCCACGCAAAAATCATTCGTTCGGGTAAACTCTGCTTGGCAATTCCTGGCGCTCGCCCGATTCCGAAAACTCGCGCAAAAGCGAAGAAACGATATCTGTGTATTATAATAGTTACGATAAACGTCGAGTCGGACGGACTGCTCGAGCGGCAGCATGAGGTTGACGTTGGCGTTGCTCGCCTGACAGCTGTAGGTCGCGTTGAGATGCTCCCTGCGCAGATGCGACACCTGCATCCGGTTCACGACGATATTGCTGCCAGCGGCCGTCGTGTCGAGCGAGCCGTTGAGCTCCTTGCCGTTGCCGTACCAGCGCACCTGGGGCCGGGGCTTGCCGCCGCGCACCTCGCACGTCAGGCTGAACTGCTGGCCGACCTCGTACGGGCCGACGGTCGTCTTCACCTGTGCCCCCGAACTGTCGTAGATCAGCAATTGATGGGGTGGAACTGCAAAAAGGAAAAGCCCGTCGTGCATGAGATTTGTCGTTCGAGTTTTGCGATTATATAGTTGATCGTATTTTGTACCCACCGATGACCGTGAGATTGACCTGATAATTTCTCGTGGGTGAATTCTTAAAGTCCACTCTGCACCTGTAGATGCCCTCGTCGTTGAGCTGGACGGCCTCGAGCTGAAGGGCCGCCGGCTTGGTAAGCGTGACGAAGTAGGCCCTCGGACCCATGGCGTTGTTGTCCGACCAATTGAGCGCCTTGTTGAACGCTCGGCCTCGCACGTCGAAGCTTCGAATCGAGCGATTATATTGTATATCACACGATGCACGTGTATGAGAACGCGAATATAATATAAGCGGCCGCGAGTACAGCAGCATGATAAATGTGTTATACAGCCCCGATATTGACACAGGTGCAGCACAAGTGCCTACATAGAGGAGAGAGATATTCGAGGTAGCTCTCGCGCAGAATTTCCCGCTTCTCTATACAATATCTATATCGGAGGATAAAAACGAGAAGCGAGAGGAGATAAAAGAAATAAGCTGACATTCGATACGTCTGTTGCTGCTGCTGCTACTACTGCTGTTGCTGTGTGCAAAGCGATTTAACGGGCAGAAAGTATTAAAATACATATCTGTATATGTATGATACATATGTAGCGATGGGGCCAGAGGGGTTGCCCACTGCCACTGCCACTGGACGCGCGAGCTGGATTGAGTTACACGGCACCGCGCATATATCGTAATAATCTTACACTGCCTATGACATGTATGAGTGTCATATATGTGTCACCTATACATACATACGTGTGTGCGTATATTTGGATTTTTCAAAGTGAAAATGTACCATGAATAACCTATGCTCCGACGCTCGGCGATTCAATAAAATTCAACCTGCCCCGACCTAGTGCGTTACCTTACCGCAGCAGTAGCAACAGTCAACGCACACGCATACGTTGAAAGAAAAACGATAAAGCGAGATAGAGATGGAGATAGAGAAGGGGAAAAAATCATCGCTTCCGCACAGTCTCTTCAAAGCGATGATCGACCGAGTAGTACTCGTTTGCTTTTTTTTGCTTTTTATTTCCAGCCAGCCCCCGATACAGGAGAGAGATATGATACATACACGAGATGTAGTATGTGTAGCGGTACGTACGTACGCGCAAAACTAGAGCGAGTTTTTAAAAGTTGTACACGCGTGTTATATTCGCATATACACTTTGGCAAAAGCATCCCCGCAGCAGCAGCAGCAGCAGCAGCAAGCATAGCAGCCTAGTACACGTTGAACGAGCGGCGATGGAGAGAGGGAGAGAGAGAGAGACAGACAGACAGAGCAAAAGCAGGAAAATAAAAAGAACGAATCTTTGCGATAGTGCGAAAAAAAGCTCCCGCGATTCGTGTCAGATTCAACTGGTTGCAATTTTTTTACCCTCATTCATAGGCACAGAGGGTAAGAGAGAGAGAGAGAGAGAGAGGAAGAGAGGAAGAGCCGAGTTTCTGCACATTCTGTATCGGTGAGTGAGCGATGCTCGTTTATGCATGTACAACATTGCTCGCGAGCGAGAGCGGGCGGGCGGTGAAAAAAAATTTCCTCCACGATAGACCCACACACGCGCGCAAGCGGGTGCATATCGTATCTGCGGCTGTAGCGCACACCGATCATCCGCGAGCACACGCACATCGGGTGAAAAGGAAATATTTTATGCGTCTGCCGGGATATCTGTGTGCGAGGTTTAAAAAGGCGCGATCGTATTCAAAAGCCGAGGATAAAGTGGAAAAGAAAATTTTTGGTTGCGAGCGAGGAAAAAGAAGACACGGTGCCCCACCGCGAGCTTTCAATACCCGGCGAATGCCCGCGCGCATAAAAAAGACCATTTTTATATGAGTGAGTGATAAAAAAAAGGAAGAAGGAGAGACAAAAATTACGAGACTCGTGTAATCGCTCGCGAGCTTGCAGTAGTACGAGAGAGACGGACCGAATCGCGCATATAATGAGACAACTTTCTTTTACGCTATTTATTCGCCGAACGACTTTCGATACGCAAGTATATTGGCATGTATATGCGCGCTTTGGTATATGTGTATGTATGTGTACGCGCGCAGCAAGTAGAGGACGGTGGAGGCGGCAGGACTTTTCCGACTGAATAAAAAAGCGAGTTAGTAGAAAATAAAAAGAAATAAAGAGAGAGAGAGAAGAAAAAAGGTGTGTATATGCAGTCATTGCCGAGGCGTTATTCTCTCTCGCTCTCCTTCTTTGAAAGTGCAGCGCAATAATTTTCAATCTTATTTCCTTTCGCTTTCTCGCTTCGTGATCTTTTTCTTCGTTCCTCGCTCGACCTCCCTCTCTTACTGCATGCGTCACTTCCTTCGTTTTGTACATACATTTCGCCTTCGTACAAATGCACTTTTTGCCGCCGCTGCTGCTGCTAGCTGCCATTGCGGAAGCGATGCTGCAGTTTATAATTTATCACACGTGCCTTTTGACAACAAGAATCGTGAAGAAAGCATAAGAAAAAGCTCTCACTCGAATTAGTAATTCGCGATTGCAGCTTGAACGAGCGTATACAGCTGTATACAGCTGTATACAGCTCTCAGCTCTGTGTCGAGAGAAAAAGAATTCTAAAAGAGAGCTTGCAGCGAGCTTGCAACTTGTCCGACGAAGCTAGAGTCGAGTTTTGCTGCTCTTGCTGCTGCTGTTGCGACAATTCTCAAAATTGATGTGCTCGCGCGCTTAATGCACTGCACAGAATATGACGACTCGAGCGGCGGACTAGAGTAGTGCAGCTCTCGTCTAATTTGACGACGTTGTTATACATACCTGTAAATCGGCTTGACTGATGTGTCGCGAAACCATAGGACCATATAAACTCGATCGTCTCGCTTGGACGGCTCGGGCTCAATGTCACAGGGTAAGGATGCCGTGCGGCCGAGCACCGCGCTCACATCGATCGTCGTCACTGCAACACACAAATACAAACACAAAAGAATCAGCGCTTATTTCCTCTTGCTTTCTCTTCGAATCGTAAATGAACATGTTTTGTTTTTCCCTCTCTCTCTCTCTCTCTCTCTCTCTTTCTTTTCTCTCTCGGGCGCGCGCGAGCTCAAGTGGGGGGAAAAATTGCATTTGACTATAACAAAGCCTTGTGCAGTGAGATAGAGAAAGGGGAGCTAGTAGTACGGGCGTATAAGTTGAGCGAGCTTGTACAATTTTAAAACATTATGCATAGCCCGAGCCAACGTCAAAGTTTTCGCACTTGTGTATATGAGCTTGAGCGAGAGAGAGAGAGAGTGAGCGAGAGTGAGCGAGCCGGCAAGAAAAAAGTTTTTCTTAACTATTAAAAAATGACTGCGAGTTTTCGAATATAATAAAGAAAAGAGGAAGAAAAAAAAGAAGCAAAAGGGGGACACGTACCAGGCGATGAACAAAGATTACACGCTTATACTCGTTCTACGCGTATTATCCAAAGATTTAAAAATATCCTCTGTATTATACCCGAAAAGGTCGAGTGTTCGATTCGATACGACGCGGGCTCGTTATTTAAAAAAAAAAGGCAGCGGCAGCTCGTAAACTAACCGAATTGCAAGGTTCTCTCTCTCGTGTATGCAGCATCATTATACGTGTCCGAGAGCATTACGGGGCCGATAATTATCGTCATTGTATTAATAATTTCATTTCTTTCTTCCGGCGCGCGAATTCAGCGTTGGTTGCGCGCACAAAGGATATCGTAATTTCATCTTCTGCAAAAGCTACGCTAGCACTAGGGGGAGAGAGAGCGAGGGCGCATCGATGTGCGTGATATTATCTTGCCCGTTCGATGTGCCCTATCTGTGTGTGTCTGTGTCCGTGTGTACATATATTCAAAAAGCTTTAATCGATTTATCGATCATGTACAAATATTTGATGCTATATATACATTATAACACATAGAGATTTAATAATTCATTATGCTGTCCCCCTCGCTCGCGCGCCCGACAACCCGGCGCTCAAAGGGCTATATAGCATTTATATGCGTATTACATATAAAGCGCGCGGGGGGGTAGATTCCTCTTTGTATCAGCTTACAATACCAATATTGTGCGCGCCGCGGCTCGTGCGCTCGCTTACATTATTTCAGGGTCGCGAGCCAAGAGAGCTATGCATCTATTATGAGGAAAATATTAAGTAGACCACGAGAAGCATCGCCGCTTTAACCGAGAACTAGGGAGAGACTTTGAGTGTTGTATAGGTACATACACTCGACACACACAGAGGCGCGTGGCTGGTGTTTTCATATAGGTGCTTGTTCGTAACCTGTTTATTTAAATCGTCAAATTATTACACAGAGCACACTGCTAGGTATAGCGTAACGCACGTGACACACTCTTTAGTGTACAATAGTCACGTGCCGTGAGCTTTATTATTTTTCTTGACGACTAATTGTATATGTATTATAATATACAGTCGAATTTCAGGTTGATTATACATCAATAATATCAATCGCGCGATCGAACAATATTCTAATCAAGCAATGCTCGTCGCGTCACAAATTATATACGCACGAAGCATGTGTGTGCGTGCGAGTATATAATGTATGGTATATCTCGCGGTGCAGACTCGATTGAAATATCTTTGGGAATTCATTAACTCGCGCGCGACGGGATATATAGCTATGTAACATGCACGGAACTCGACTGGTGCGCGCATATATATTAAAGCGAAAATCGACCGCACACGCACAATTGTATTGGCCGTTGATCAATCGCTATTATATATATACGTATGTATGTACGTATGTGGGATAGGGGCTAGTCGCTGAAAAAGACATAATTTCTCGATTGCGGTCCGCGCGAATAAAGCACGAGAGAGAGAGAGAGAGAGTTAGAGAGAGAGTGACGTCGACGCGTCGCGGTGCTGGCAATTCACTCGAGTAATGACATAATATAATCTTATAACGGGCCGCGCGCGCGAGCGAATAGCGAGTTACATTTCTCTGCTCTCGCAGCTTATATATACGTACGTATGTATGTATATAGCGTAGATAGACATATATATCCTCGTCGCGGAGTCATTGCATTTGGCGCGCGGGGGGGTGGTTGAACGAACTCTCGGCCATCGCCCAGACTATAATATCGCTACCTATAGGTGCTCTGCACAGCCGCCACTGCCAGTGCACCGTGCAGCTAGTGAAATTGCTGCTCTTTATCTCCGCTTCCTCCTCTCTCTCTCTCTCTCTAGCACTATTATACACGTATATGCGCTATGCTCTCCAACAATAGGACTCGATCGAGCGTACAATAATTAAGTGGCCCAGCTCGCGAGCTAGAGCTATGAGCTTATAGTTATGTTTGTCTCTCACCTGGATCGTCGTCGTCGTGCTCCCAATTGCCCGTGGCTGTCACCCGATAGGTCGGCACCACGATCACGAGCAGCTGCAGCCCGACCAGCAGAAAGACCGGCAGAACCGCCAGCGTACGCGTATTGGAGCGACGAACAGCAGCGGCAGCGGCGACAGGACGAGCTGCCGCTATGCTGCTGCCGGTGGTGAGGAGACGAGCTGCGGCCATGGCAGCGGCTGCACAACAATCCTAGTAATCGTCGTCGTCGTCGTTTTGCTACCGCCGGTGCTGGTACAACAACTGACGAATCAGCAGCAGCGGCACGACGAGCATCTGACGCTTGTTTCAGCAACAGCCTAGGCGAGAGCAGCAGCGGCTTATCGAGCATTTAAGGACTCGAGTCGCGGACGGCGAGAGTCGGAGCGTCGTCGCCGACGACGATGTGGATGCACTGCTGCCCGAACGCGAACGACGGGGCCACTCATCGACACGCACGGCCGATTCGGCACACAGGATATCGACGAGCGAGTTTCCTTCCTCCAATTGGAAAATCACAACAAAAAAAAAAAAAAAAAACAATGCACTGATACGCGCACTTTAAAGCACGACCATCGGCAATAATAGAGGCACAGGAAGCTTGCAAGCACAGAGTCTAGCGCATAGCCCAAAAAGCTCGCGTCGGTTGTTTCTTTGGCTGGAGCTTGCACGACAGCTAGCGGCACTGTTGGTACGTAAGGGAAAGAGCCCTAGTCGTTGCAGCGCTTGCAAGGAGGAGTTGCTAACTGGATCGTAGTACACGTTGATGCATGTCTCTCTTTCTCTTACTTGATACGTACGTACGTGTAGCCACCCCGACAGCAGCCTCAGCGCTGCGCGACTGCTATATGTACATACACACACACACACGCGGCGCGCGTATAACCCGCTCAAGACCCGACAAATAGCAATGATAAATCCACTCGAGACTGCATGCTAATGATCATACAGGTATATATATGCCAGGCTGCTGCTGCTGCTGCTGCTGCTGCTTGCAGAGAGGAGCTGAACGCAGCGAGTGAGACAGAGACGGAGACGCGGAGGTAGGCTGGCTGGCTGGTGCGCGCGACCTGTGCACCGTGCCTCGCTCGCGGAGTGTGCTTACGGAGACTCGCTCAGTCCCTCGCACATCGAGCCGCACACCCGCGCACTGCACACGCACGAACGTGTATACTACTCTATAGAAAGAGGAGGAGGAGGCAGAGTACGAGAGAGACACGCGCTGGCGCACACATTAACGTGCTGCTGCTGCTGCGAGCCTTGCTATATATGTATACCTGTATGACTTATCAGACAGTCAGAAGAGCCAAAGCTGAACTGGCGAAGCAAACTCGCGCGCACCGAGAGATGTGCAGCAGGATTTCTCTCTCTCTCTCCCACTCGCACACACAGAGTCGCTTTTGGCGCTCCGTATTCCTACACACGCACATATACGGCAGCAAGCGTTAGGAGAGAGAGAGAGAGAGAGGCAAAACGCTAGGCGCGCATGCTGCGCTATGCTAGGTGGTATAGGTGCTCCGCTGCTGGTTTTGGTGGTGGTGGTGGCGGCGGCGATCGATATATACCCTCGTGTGTATAGGAGCCTGTGCTGCTGCGCGCGCGCTCGCCTCCATTTGCCAAAGCGCCAAGCGCGCCGTGCGTTGATTCGTACTACTGCGCTGCCGCCGCCGCCGCCGCCGAAGCCGCCACCACCATCGCTGCTGCTGCTACAGGAATCGCCGACATCGTCGCTCAGAGGCACACGACGACGGCCGAGAGCTTTTACTACTACTACTACTACAACTACTACTACCAACGTTGCTATATATGCCATCCAAGAAGGGAGAGAGCCGGAGAAAGGGACTTTTTGCTCGTTTTGGATTCTCCGATCGTTGAGAATGAGCGAGAGAAAGGATAAATTATATATCTATATATTCGCCTACGCGTCTTTGTGTATAAGTATGTGTATATGGAATTTATATTGCGAACGTGTAGACGTGTGGATATATACGTACGTGCATGTGCGACGAGGATGTATTAGGTGGAAGGAGTTTGATGTCGACATGCCTGAAAAGAGAGAGACAGAGAGGAGAGAGAGAGAGAGAGGGTACTCGAAGGATGCTCCCTTTATGCTGGGCTCCTAAATATATTTAAGGAGAAAGGCATATGTACCGAAACTTGCGTCGCCTCCACCGCCTCCGTCGTCTTGGCTGTACTGCGCGCGTCAACGATCCTCGTCTCGAGCCTCTCCTTGTTTAATCACATACGTCTCGGAAAATCATGTACAATGGATATCGTCATTTTCGATTCATCTCTCAGCGGCGCAGTGATTGTCAAATCGATCGGAATAAGTGCTATCATGAACGAGACAAGAAAAAAAAGAAGAGGAAGGAAAGGAAAAGAAAAGAAAGAAAGCGTCACGCCGTATAATTGATTCGTTATGCTACGTTTGATTGAACATCGGATCGCGTATTATGTTATAAACCATATCGCGCGCGCACAGAATCGATATAGCGGAATAATCGAAACGTTCGCACGGGCGCGCGCTTCGAAATTCTTTTTCAGTTCTTATAATAAAAACGTAATGCCACGGAGCGATTATCCATCCGCACAATAAGCTATTTTTTTTCTTTCTTTCTTACCTTTTTTTTTGTGCACCAGCCCCGCAGCCGCAGCCTAAGAGGCTTATAATATAGACGTTTTATATATACGCGACGGCGACGTCGACGACGACGAAGAGCCTCGCTTACTCGCAAGCTCGCTCGCGTTACCGTAACATCGAGTATTAATCTTTTTCCTCTTGACTCGAGAGATAGAGAGAGAAAGACAGAGAGGGAGAGAGAGAGAGTAAAAGAGAGCACGACGACGCGATCGACGCTGATTTATGTATACACGCTTAAACTGCAGCCCTAAAAACGAGCAGCGCGAGAAGGAGGCCTTGTGTATCTCTCTTTTATCGGAGAAAAATACACGCGCTTTACTCTCACGGATGAGAGCTTTTGGATGGGCGACGAGCATCGAGAGACAGCAGCCAGCACAGAGAGATTTGTTGCAATAAAGTCAATCCGATTTCTCGTGAACGCGCGCGCTCGCGAGTTCGGGGGTACGCGCGCTTGGCGCGTTAAAAAGTATAAAGGAAAAGCCATGGCAAAAGAGCAGTTATTATGCGTACACATACAACAATGACATTTCGTACGTACAGCAAGACAAAAACAAAGAGAGAGAGAGAGATGCAAGAGAGAAAACTGCAATATAAAAAAAAAAGGAGATAACAGCTCGAGCTTGCAAGCTCCCTCTCTCATTATACTCCTCGCGCTCGGATACGTATACGTGCATGTGCGTCGCGTGGTATATCTCTTTTTCTCGCTGTACCTCGCGCGCTGCGACCCGCATAAAGTTTAAACAATTCACTTTGTTAGGCGACAAACGCTGCCTGTGCGTAGTCGGAGGGGGGTAGGGGGTAGGAAGGCCAAAGACTAGGAATACAAGAAAATATGAACAATGGGGCCGTATAACTGTTGAAAGTAGTGCAGCACACAGCGCGCGCGTATTATTCGAGCTTTCTCTCTCTCTCTCTCGCACGCGATGACGCGAAAAGAGTCGCAGCTACTGCGCTATAAAAATATAATATAATAAAAGCATAAATTTGCCTAGGCGCGGTTTTAAAGCGTACATAGACGCGTGCATAAATGTGTGTGTGTGTGTACGCGCGTCTTTGTCACAACTTTGGCCATAACTCTCCCGTGTGAGGTGCCGCGCGCGCTCGGCTCTGCGAGAGGTATTGTGAGGAGCAGTATATACATTTGTGTGTGTGCCTGCCGCTATATGTGGGCAAGCGTGACACGTCCTTATACTCGCTCGCTGCACTCCCCGACTAGAAAGTGTGTTATATAATAATTCTAAGCTTTATTATGCAAGCTCGATTATAATTATAATTGCGCAAGCTCTAGTTAGAAAATAAGCCGTACGTACGGCGCGCGCGAGAAAAAGTGAAAGTTTTCGATACTATATGCGCTATATCGCGTGTACCGTATTCTCGTTTCTTTTATTCTTCTTTTTTTTTTAGCGAGAACATAAAGCTCCGCCAGTCGACAAAAAGAATCAGTTCGTCGTCATAACGGTGCCGCATTAAGAGCGCGCGCGCGACGACGACTAATTCGAAAAAGTGCTCAGCCAGCCGGACTCACATATGTGCTGCAGCTAGCTCGCGTGAGCAGCTTATAATAATTTCTTTCTTTTCGAAGTCGCTGAATATAGAAAAAAAAAAGAAATGGGTGAAAAAAGAGGAAAATTCGTACACGACGATGCGCACGAGTAGTGTAACGTTTCAATCCGTTATAAATATGACCTTTTGAGAAAAATAGAGTCATGGGCGTCGTTTCTTTCTGCATTTAGCGCTGCACATATCTGCACACACTCACGTATGCGATATATGTATATCTCATTGTTTCGCTTGTATATCGTATACTTATGTACAGCCATTGTATAGCTTCGCATTCTTGAGAGGAGCTTATAATGACGATGACTGACGGGCACATACATGCAGCATACACGTATGCACACGAGCATAAACAAAACAACAAAAAAAAAAACAATATAACAAATATCAAGACTGACGCTCGAGTCAAAACACGAGGAGCTCATTAGTCATGGACTTGGCGCGATATAGATATGATTATTTGCTAGGGCCAGCGCGCATAGGATACACATACATCAAGTGTCTAAACGGCCAAAGAGGATCGGGCGTTTGCTCGGTCTCTGTGTGCACCTCAACCGCAGCAATATCACTGGCGTTTCTAATTTACCCCGTCTGTAGCGCGCACTTATAAGTAAATAAGCTCGCTCGAGCGAGCTTCGTGCGCGTCGACATTCGTCAAATTGAAAACTCGACGCGGCGTCTAGGCGCACTCGGATCTTCTCTTCTTCTCCCTCTCGCTCGCTCACTCACTCTCCTTTTTTTACCTGATTAATTGCCCGCAATGATAAACGAGTACTTTATCGCGGGTGCGCGCGTATACACACACACACACACACACACACACACACACACACACACACACGCACAGATAGATACCGGCTAGTGCAATTGCGTGTGCGTTTAAATTACTTTCGCGGGGGATATAGCTCGATACGATCAAAGTTTCATTAAAAGCCGCGAAGCTCTGCCGCTAGCATCACAGCAATAGCAGCGTGCACACTTATAAACAAGCGAAAAGCGATGACTCGACCGCGCGCGTTTATATTAAATATACAGTTATATACAGTAATGTGCACGCGACGACGTTACCTCGACGACGACGACGGGGTAGACTAGTAACCCGATCCGCAGGAGATGATATTGTACTTAAAGAGTGCGTGGTGTAACGGAGCGTATTTTTCAAGCTAATTTATGGCATTTTAAACGCTCGCTCGTAAATCTTCGTGTCGGGGTCGCCGAGCTTTTTTCCTCCATCCTCTCCAGAGCTCTTTTCTTTTTTTTCAGCGCGTATATATAACTCGGGTGCTTTGGGTATCAAGTGTATGATACACCACTTCTTCGCGCTAGTTAACTAAGGCATACAAAGGATTAGTTTGGAAAAAGCTCGACGATACATAACTTCTTTGCGCGCTCGCTCGCGGAGCTTTCCTTCCTGTTCCTTTTTTCTGCTCGTCGCGCTCGAATTCGTACAAAAACTTTTCTGTATATACTTTATAGCGCGCGCTAGCTCGGCTGCAAAAAGTTGTTGCGAGCGCACGAGATCGAAGCGTTTAAATTCTTGCGCTCTTCGCGCGAGATTTTTTTTTACCCCGTCATAATTTCTTCGATATAATGACGAGGTAAACGCGAGCATAAGCGCGGGGGCCGAGGGCTTTAAACACGGCGCATTAATGCACTTATGCGCCCTCGCCGTCCATTAGCATACTTACGCACTTTTGTATGAAAAAGTTTAAAAAATTTTCGCTCGAAC